TCTTGAAACACGGTCTCTATTCAGGCTGAGATCTGCAAAACTCACGGGAGAGAGCAAGCACACATACAATGTATATAGAGAAGACTCGAAACACAGGTGATATGGCTGTCCTGTAGTCTGGATGCCATGCACTGCCATCATTTGGCTATCGTTCACAAACCTTCCATACTTGAGACTAATATCCCAAACTGATCATGAAGCCAACCGTTTTGTAAGCTTGGCCTAGGGCAGGGAACACATATTTCGCAATGCTATCCAGGTAAGAATCGACATTCTGAGTATGAAATGAAATGCGCTCATTAATATCTCTTGGGTAGAAACTTGTTTCCTCCTATGCAGAATATATTGAGCATACTCTGTGATAGAGCCAAGGTGTCAAGGTTAGAGCAGCTGAGAGTTGTATTGTGCTTGGGTGCAGAAAAGGAAAACTTATTAGATTTCGTACATCCAACTTCTTCGTACTCTGTTTGAGTACATGGAGCGACCGACGTATGTACAGTCGATGAACACTTACCGAAGTGCACAGCCTAGACATTTCTTTACATCACATGTAGGTACTCCGTACTCCATTGGCCTGCACAAGCTATAAGAGGAGTGGATACCATGATATCCATGATGCTCTTGGTTATCAGCTCAAGAGGAAGAAAAGTATTCACCATCATGTTTTGTGCCCTCTGGAAAGAAGCTTTGGTGTCATGAAAGAGGGCACACCACTCCTCAAATGCAATCCAACGGTTCCAATAGTTGCTGTTGTTGGAATCCAACTCTTCAGTACTTGCCTTTTTGACTCAAGTTGCAGTCACTCACTCAGAATTCTGATTGCATGCTTGAAAATGGCTTGAATCCGATTCGAACGTGGCTATATTCCTATCCATTATAAATTCCGTTTCTCCAACCTTGATGAAGGTCGCTGCTTTAGATTTGAGATCTACTATGTTGACCTTAGAATCTGTCGACAATCCTCTAGTTTCAGTCTCGCGGGTGATCTGATATCGTTGTTAACTACCACAACATTATCTATGGAGGAGATTACTCCGAGAGATCCTAGTATAGTCTCCAGAAATAAACAGAGCTTGGGAACTGAGATTTCTCCATCGAAACATAACATCACTGTGAGAAAAGCCGAGGGGTCGACCATAACCTCTGACGACATTCAGCCGTGCAAAGAAGTAGCCAGGAGTTACGTCAGCTAATCTGACACATTACCAATCCCTGATGCTAAACAGTTGAGATAATTGGATCTCTCATACACCTAGGTTTGTACTCAGTCTCACACTGGAGCTACAAGTAGGTAGCAGCCACACTGCCTTATACGTTTGGGCAGGACAAGAGATCCTGCCTGCTACCTCTGAGCTGCTTAAGCAGCATGTTACTTTGGACTCTGATGATTTGACAGGCTGTTTTTATTTGATTCTACATCATCCAGACAAGTACCACTTCACATTGCCGGCTCCAGTTTGATGTGCGGTTTGGAATTGGCACCACACTTCTTTTTGAGTATCTGATAGACTGATCACTCCATGAATTGTCCATTCGTACGAGTGTTCCGGCACTTCTAGAGGTCCAGAGATTATTCCATTGTTTTCCTGTCATTCAGTTTGGGTCAAACTTACATATAATGTCTCTAATCCCCGTGTTCTCATTGCATTGTCACTTCACATCTCTCCATGCTGTGTACTATCATATGAATAGGCGCGAACTGCAGTTAGTGCTCATGTCCAGACCGTTGTTAGTGTAATTTAAATGAGTTCCAGGCAATTGCGAACCATTCCCACGAGGTTTTATGTGACCTTCTAAAGTAGTGTGAACCGCACTAATTTAGGTCAGCATTGGTGATGAAGAGCATATATTAAAGAAAAATGGTGAAACTGGCATCAGTTCTGCTTCTTTCACGGAAATCTCAGCAATCTAGACTTATGTGGTTCAGACATTAATTAAGCTAAGAACAAGACTAAAGGCAAAGACAAAAAGATATCTGACGGTACAGGTATACCTGATCTGATCTTTCACACAACTAGAGGTTCCACCCAGTGCTTTGTCGTATCTGAAACGCAGACCGTTCACACTTAGAATTCCTGGAATTTACCTCTTACCTCTTGTCACCGCACTTCAAAACCAAATTTTTTTTACAGGCAGTTCTCATTTCTCTCATTGACAACCTGCCGTCAGGCTTTAAGAAAGAAGGTGAGAACATTCCAGTTCTTCTAAATGGCCCATCGCTTGCACATATTGCCACCATCTAGCCATGAAGTGCAGTAACGCTCAACGTTGAGAGATCCAACTCATTCCTGTTGCTCCTGAGCTTGTTATTTTCACAGAAATCGTCATCCTGTGACGATGTGAATGCGAGTCCCAACCTCGATGCAGCATTGAACTGCTGAAACTTTAGAACCTGAGCGTTCCGAACTTGAATCGTAAGATAAATAAAAGAACGGAACGAGACCTCTGCTTGTTGCTTCAAAGAACTGTATCTTCCCTCAAGAGTCGGAGCATATCATGCAGCATGTGTCACAAGCACACACTCAACCGAACGAACTGACAATCCCTTGAGCTAGCAAACCAGCAAACAACATCTTCGGCAGAGCTCTCATCGACATCGTTCTATCTACACACACATTATGATCCAGATAATAATCTGGATCATAATGATAATGAGAAACTGTCACACATCTTCAGAATCACGCAGTTCTGATAATCAAAGTCCACAGCGTGATTGAAAAACTTTGGCAGATTTTCAGTATTACGCAGGTTCGACTGACTTCCTAACATTCGTACCTTAGGAATGACAACCAGAACTCACTGTGATCGCATGTATGGAATAGATGGTACTTTGACCTTTCTATCACTGCTTGAGGTCTAAATCAATATCTCTCATGGCGTAACGCACTTAAAAAATAAACACTGAATAGAAAATGGTATGCATTCTCGTCTAGGACTCCATTGGGCTGAGAAGTTTCTGCAAAGTCCACGAGATCTGTGTAAGCAAATATCAGAGTAGAAAGAACATATAAACAAAGGCCAGCATGAACACGAGTTTTGCATCTATCGTAGGAATATAAAATAGGGCAACAAGCTTAGTGCATCGTGTAAGAACGTTCACAATGGGCCCAAAGGAGAAGGAACAGTGTGTGACACCAGAAATATGAATTTCAATTTCAGCAGTAAAGATTATCCGGATGTTCTCCCAGTGGTGACTACTACCACCAAAGTTCTATTTATTAGGACTGATCAGTGTTCTCTACAACAGATCGTAGAGCAAAATACAAATTCATTGTTGTTAACGTGATCCGTAGATCACGTTAACAACACCAAGAACTCGGACACAACTCTGAACTGTGCAAACTCTACTAAAAGAGTAGTAATTATGTGGATCATATTCATACCAATGAATCAACAAAATGCAAGCCTGCACGTTATATTTACTTGATTGTACAGTGGATTAGTTTAATATATCCGAATGACTTGAAGGGGAGCCCCAAATGAATCAACCAAACAAAAATTGTTTCCTGTTGTTATATACTAAATGAACGTACACCTGAATCTTAGGGCAATCGTACGAGGATATCAAATGATATTAAATGTCATTATTTAAGCTCATACTGAATTATATTAGACAAAAATTTAGTTGCTTTGATGTCTAACAAAATGCGCCACTGTAACAACCAAAATTAAAAACCACAATGAATGAGTAAGTTTATCAGAAATTTCATTTTCATGTGCTTCGAATATCTCCTTACATTTGATTTTATTCAATATAAAGCAAAATGTATGTAATTTCAAATCAACGCTCTGGATTGAATGATGATCTTTTCATAGGATCTTTCCACCCACACTTGAACTTGTAAAGCATACGGAAAGTTAAGAAGATCTGATATCATAATAAATAAGTAGCTCCAAAATAAGTAAGTTATAGTTATTTACCGTAATCTCACAGAAAAAATGTAAGAGAAATTAGCATCATTATTATGTATATAGGGAGGATTCTTTTTTACTAAAGTCAAATGCATTATATCATTGATTTTACGGTATGACTTCAATTATATCATTTTAATGAATACAAAATAATTCATATTTTTATTGTACCAAATTATTATAAATACGTTGACATTAGAATTTGAAAAATCATTATGTTAACGTTAACACTATGATGCGTATTTTTTTGAAATTTTTTTAAGATAAATTATTTTCCAATCTATTGTAATGTATCATCTTTTCAATTCCTTTCATGTGCACATTTGGACATTAAAAATTTACTACAAACATACTTTTTAAGATCAGTCATGCTTTCCTGAAATCACAACTTGAACTCAATCCACCTTGTTGATTTTTCTAATCATATGATAGATTTTACTTCAATATTTATATAAAAGTTATAATGTTTATTATTACACTTTATAGAATCAATGGATGTGATTGAAAAGATTTTACAAAAATGAATATTTTAAATATCTCAAAATACTATCGTGAGATTATGAATAACAACTACAAAGTATCATACGTTAAGAATTAATATTGAAGGATTGTGTAATTTTTCCTCTATATATCCAGTATCTTTGATTATTTAAATATGAAACTGCAAGTTCTAAGCCAAAATTGAAAACATGATTTCTAGCAAGCAATTAGTTTAAAAAATGAACAATAAGATTTGAATCATTTCTAAATCAATCCTGATTCCAATCATATGCTTATTATATTCTTTTGCTACAATAATCTGTATCATACTTGTTTATGTTTTTTCCTGTTTGAAATGTTCTACTGATTTATAATAAACAATGAAATAAGAATATTATCAAAGATAAAAGAACATACAAGTAACTAGAAATTTTAACGTTTTTTAAATATATCAATGATCACATTAATTTTGTTATCATTTTGTAAAAAAATTTGGCTTTATATGTGATTTAATCATATATTTCATTTTCAATGATTTCTTTAATTTTTGAAATGTGAAAGAAAAATTATCAATTCAAAAATAAGGAAATGACTAAAAATTAAGCTCTATGGTAAAAATATCAGTTTAAATTTTTTGATCATGATATTTTCGGAATTCCGGCCTGCTTTTGTGCTAAGCCCTTGCAGTTGATCACGTGTTATACTATGTTTATAAGATGTATATGCATGGATATATTTCCGGAATTGAGGAAGTATCAAATAAAAGAATTAGCATAATATTTGTGTATTTGCCTTTTCTAGCCAACAGCAAACCTGGCTCTCCCCGTCGCATTCTTAGGTTGGACAAAATTAGCATAAACTAAGGGGCATGTTGAAACATCGACATAACATTGGCCAATGGTGCTGATCAAGTCATTGGAGTAGTGATGGGTATTGGATGTTTACAATTACGCTGTGGTTCAAATCAGAATCCTCTTGCATGAAGCATAGGGGAATGAGAATTCAGGAAATCCATTTTACCGACATTTTAGGAAAGCATTCAGATCTTATGGATGGCTTCAACGACTTTCTTTCGCAGCGGCTTCCCCACAAGCGCAAGTACTCGAACAAGCCCATCTCCGAGCTCGACCTGTCCAATTGCGAGCGCTGCACGCCGAGCTACCGCCTGTTGCCCAAAAGCTACCCCGAGCCCATTTCCACGCATCGGACCGACCTGGCACGGGAGGTTTTGAACGATAGCTGGGTCTCGGTTACATCCGGGAGCGAAGAGTTCAAGCAGATGCGGAAGAATCAGTACGAGGAGATCCTCTTCCGCTGCGAGCGAAACTCTTGGTAGGTGTCGCGGTTGCGCAATCTGCCCTTCACCTTGTCGAAGAAGGCAAGCAGCTCCTTCTGCAGGCTCGAGCTCTTGAGCGACTTCTTGTCTCGACCAGAGGCGATGCCGACAATCCCTGCAGGGCCTCGCCGCCCTCGGCGGCCTGAGATTGCTTGCGAATCAACTCGTCAGCTCGCCGGGCGGACTTGCGCTTGTGGGGGAGCCGCTGCGAGGCGTTCAAATCCTTTTCTTTTCGAAATTAGAATTGTGGATGTTGTAGGGTGTCACCCTACGTCGTAGGGTGACTTCCGTATCCCGGTATATATCCAACTCCCGCAACTCTTCACCTGCTGTGTTAACTGCCGCCCGGATTTGATCCGTGGTCTACCAGGTTGAGTATTATCTTCCTTGGGCCGCAATGACTTATCTGACGTCTCATGTGACCTGACTGATTCAAACCCATCACCTTGCGATTGTTGATAAGCCATGCCAGTCTCATTCGCCCCGCCAGTCGCGACGCCTCGACGGCTGTCTCGTATCGAACTGGTTGCCATGGTTAGCGCCGAGACTTGTGATTGGTCGTTTTCGTCCATCAATTGTCATGCAACTGCTATATTGTTGGCTCAGCAAAGTGACTATTTCGTTGCTGCTCCTTCAAGTGGAGAGAAAACCCATAAGCCCAGCGGTCAATGCATCTTTGGTTTATGATACAATTGCAAGATACATAATCCAAATCAACCAGAAACTCATAACTTTAAGTACAGATACTTCTCCACTATGAGAGTCTTCCGATCATCATATTAAAATTTTAAGTTAGTAATTTTCGAAGAATTCATGAAAATAGTCAAATGATGAATTATATTTCATCAAATGATTAGTTTCAATTATTATTTGGTAATTAATAAATTGATATTGCATCAATGTACTTTTGACGTTCATATTTAATTATTCTACATGATTGAATTTGGTGGATATAAAGGATTTACAACAGACATGATTTACATCAGCCTTAAGCTTATAGCTACTAAATTCAAATATTTCTCTATCATGAGAATCTTAGGATCATCAGATTAAAATTGTCAGTTAGTAATTTTCACAGAATTCAATGAAAAGAGTAAAATGATGAATTATATTTCATCAAAATATTATTTTAATTATTACTTGGAAATTTATCAGTTGAGATTGCAACAATGTACTTTTGACATTCATGTTTAATTACTCGACATGATTGAATTTTTATGTTGCATTCATTTTGTTTTATAAATTAGTAGGATCGGAAAATTGCATAACAACTACCTTTGCATCTATGACGAGAAATCAGTTTGAGATTTTCACCAATTTTTTTTTTAATGATTTTCTTTATTCAAAGTATTATTTTAGAAAGAGAGATTTAACAAGATAATTTGTTAAAATAAATCGATCTTCCGACTAAACCCCGATCGGATATTCCGACTTACAGCCGGAGCAGCACAGTACTGCCTACCACGTCGGCAGTACTGTGCTTCCCGATTCCTGCCGGTGGAAAAAGCAAATGCAGACGACCGGATAATCAAAACTCACGGAAAATTACCGGAAATTATGACTTACAGTACTTTTGTCTATATCTGGATTAAATTTATTTACAAGTGATTTCTTTAAAAAAACATAAGGATGATTCTAAAAGATGAATTTTACAAATCACCCTCTGTTTACATATCATAAGTATCATTACATATCATACAATTAAAAATATGCCTAACTTTTCCATTAAGGTAAAATTTTAGAAATGCATATATTGAAAATGATTGTTGTCAAATTATGGTTCAACTTATTTCATGTAGAGAATAAGGTGTTAAACTTATCACTGATAAGTTTTACATCGAATGGTGATAAGTTATCACCATTCAGCTTTGATGAATGAATAGATATCTTGAGACAAAGGTTATTTACTAATATAATCTCTATGTGATCATATTATAATTAGATGTTATTTCTATTTTTTATAACTGAATATACAATACTCATGAACTTGAAATTGAAAGCACTATCTTCACTTGTGTAGATTAAGAGGAAACCTCCACCTAACTATCATACCACTAAACCAGATACACCAAAGTACACTCAAGTCTATGAATAATGTGTAACATTTACTGCCATGTAGGATGCGTGCAACGGAGAGAATGTGTCAAAATTGATATCTTTTCACGGGGCAATACATGCAACTGATCTTCGACTGTGCACATTGAGCTCCTCATTGAAAATGGCGGAACAATGAACTGAAGATCTAATACTTTTCAAAGAATGACCCATCTTTTCTCAATTCTATCTAAAGAGGTCTGCATCTTACTTCATTTAAATCTCCCTAACAATGTGCAGATTGTGCCGCGCGATGCAAAAGTACATTGTTCAACCATATAAATTACACTCAATGTAAGAACCAAATAATCTCTGACTCAAGGCAGCGGGATAGTTGGCAAAAACTTTCATAATCAATTGTTGTCTAATGCGTGCCTCGACCAATTTGAGATACTTTCCATTAGTTTCTAGGAATAAGTAGTTTATGCTCATGTTTTCTTCAGTGAATTATCTCGTATGCTAATCTCAGATAGCGGGGAGGAAATATCCATTTTGGATACGCGCGTGACATATACAATTAGCAGATCATACACAGACGTGAGACTCAACATATTAAGAATTTTACGATGTTTTTTTTCAATTCCAACAGATTAAAACACGAGTTTCCTCACAGACAACCGTTGTCAAACTTTGCAACAAAGTGTTCAGTCGCTCGACACCGAGCGGGTCGAGATCTGTCTGAGGTGAGATGATAAGCGCAGTCTCATCAAACAAATATCACAGTTTTCATTTGAAAACCGGACTCGGAACGGAGAAACGACGGCAATGAAATGAGACACGCAAACATTCCATCTCAGTTTTCAGATGAAAACTCGCCTCGGCCCCCGTGAAGGAGCCGACAGTGAAAGAGAAAAGATGGAACGGCCGGAATTTCTCACACCTCGGAGAAGCATTTCTCGTCGGAGTCCTTCGTCATTGAGCATCGAGTCCTCTGCTCTATCATCGAGCTAATCCTCCCTTTTAGCATGTGAGCCTGTTCCTCAGCCACCTCTACCTCTCGCTCACTCTTCCTCCATCTCCTCCTCCTCCTCGCTCACTCTTCCTCCATCTCCTCCTCCTCCTCCTCCTCCTCATCATCCTCCTCGTCCTCGACGTCACCACATGGAAATGCAAGCTGTAGCCCCTGCCCACATGAAGAGCAAAGTCGCTTTCACCTCTCTACATCCGACCATAAGGCCACATCTGAACGATTTCACAACCAGGACTTGCAAATCCACAATTACGGATTAGTGAAGGTGGGCCGAGCTCCCTCCGTTGGAGCCTTCCATGAAGTTGCTGGTGAAGAGATTGGACAGCATCGAGGACTGGGGGAGAAGGCTCGAGCCTGCTCCAGAGTAGGAGTTCGAGGGCGTGCCGTCCGACTCGTCGGCGATGCGGCCGTGCATGCCCGTCATCACGTGGCCCAGGCTGTTGCCATTGCCTCCCCCGCCCATGCCGGACGAGAGCCCTGAGAGCCCCATTCCACTCCCCATCCCGGAGCTATTGCCCGACAGATTGTAGCCCGAGGAGTTGTTCACAGACTGCTGCTGCTGCTGCTGCACGAGGTTCGGGTTGGAGGAGCTCAGATCGATGGAGTCGAGCTCGCGGTGGCCGTCCACATCGCCCAGAGGCACGGCGGGCGTGTGGCCCTGGAACAGAGCAATGTGGCCCAGCAGCTTGTCCTTGCGGGAGAAGGTGGTCCCGCACGAGCATTGCCACTTATCGCAGCCGCAGTGCTTCTCGTGCGTCTTCAGATCCGCCACCACCGAGAATTTCTTGCTCTTGCACTTCTGGCACGCCAGCATCTTGGGGCAGTGGCTGCGCCTGTAGTGGTTCTTCACGCACAGCATCGTCTTCAAGGGCGCGAATTTGCGGTGCTTTTTGTTGCGCTTGCAGCCGGCGTAAGGGCACGAGTAGCGCCGCTCTTTCACAGCTGCCTGATCGTGCACAGCTTTGTCGGGCCGGGCCAAGGCCGCAGGAGTCTTGTACTCATCGCCGTGGCCCCTCATGTGCATCCGCAGATTGGCATCGCGCTTGAACCCCTTCCCGCAAATCTCACAGAAATGAGTGTGCTCTGCTAGAATCTCGATGGCGTCCATCTCGATGAGCTCGTACTCCGAGGGATCGAGCTTCTCGCCCTCGCCGTCATCGTCCTCGTCCCGCGCGCGTCTTCGGCCTCCGTCCTCATCCATCTGCGGGGGCGAGTTCGCCATGGACGAATGCGACGACGGCCTGTTGGACATGACGCTGGATTCCATTCCCCCGCCCGCAGTCCCGAGAGTGTTCCTCGCAATGCCATTCCCCATCTGGTTGCTGAGCCCGCTGCCGAGCTCCTTGTTCCTCAAATTCTGCCCGGAATTCGGATTTCCATTCCCTCCATCGCAGCCGAACACTCCACTCAGGCCTCCCACGAGACCTGCCCCCAGTTGCCCCGGAAGAGTTGCGGCCAGATTGTTGTTGCTCCCATTGCCTTGCATGCCCGAGAAGCCGCTGGCCATGGAATTGCCCATTGCGGGATTGTTCATGGAGGGCGGCCCCTGCTGCTGGAAAAAATTGAAGGCCTGCGGGGGAATTGACTCGCCCAGGTGCTGGATGATCTCGCTCAGCTGGTTGTTGTTGGGAGGGCCCGGGAAGTTGTTGCTGCCCATGGGGCCCTGCTGCTGATGATTGGGGACGGACGGGCTCTGCTGGGGAGCTTGAGCCTGACAGGGAAGCATCGAGGTGGCGACAGCGGCGAGCTGGTTGATCATGTTGATGGTGCTGGCTGCGGCTGTCTGCTGTTGCTGGGCCTGGTTGTTGCCGGCGCCCTGGGCTTGACCAGAGGCCAAATACGGGACGATGGCCTGAAGATGGACGATTTTTTGCTGGATTATCTGCAGGGCGGACATTATTGCCTCCTGGCCCTGCGAGCCTTGCAGGCCCATTGCCATGTTGTTTTTGTTGAACAAGTCCTGCCCCGACTGCGGAACTTGGCTCATGAAATGAGCGTTGTTCTGGTTATTGTTCTGATTGAAGGACGGTCCTCCTCCTCCGACCACGCCCGGGCTCTGCAGAAAATTAGCATACCCTCGTTCGTTGCCGCCTCCACCACCGCTCATGGTTTGAGCCTGCGCGAAGGCCTGCGAGTGGGACTGGTGATTCTGGACCTGCTGCTGCTGTGGGTGAACACCCAGGGAGAAGCCCATGTTAGATGGAGGTGCAGGATTCTGCTGCTGTGCGTAGGTCAGCTGCTGGCCGAGGAGAGAGAACTTGTTGAGATTTCCTCCTCCTCCTCCGCCTCCTCCTGCACCCCGAGGGCTCGAGGGATGGCGACCCTCCGAGCCCTGGCCTCCTCCTTGCTGCATGTTAGTGAATGCTCTCCCTTCTCTTCACCTCCACTTCCACCGATGGTTGACTCAGTGCCCTCTCCTCTCTTCACCCCCACTTCCACTGATTACCTCCACCTGCGTCCATCGACTCATCAGCATTTCGGCATTGCGCCACGGACCCGATGCAAGACACCCAAACAAGCAATCCACAAATTGATGCTCCCAACAAAACAACAAACGAGAGGAATCGGAGGGGATGGCAGCAGGCTCACCTTCTAGCGTGGATACTGCCTCACGCTGTATGATATATAGAAAAGGTCCGTTCGGAGGAACCTGCAATCCGTGAGTACGAGAAGATCCTTGGGCTGCAGATTCAACAACGGGTTGGGATAGCCCGGCATCCCCTATCGGTCATCAAATATCAATATTCTTCTGACAGAGAGAATTGTCTGTGCCCGGTATTCTGCAATTGCCATATATCACGAACCTTCGGATTGACCTCTTGCAGTAAAACGGTCCGACCAGGAAAGAGAAGGGAGAGCTCTAGCATCCGCCCTGTGACCTACATGATCACCCTTATCTCTGCGCTCTCTCCAGATCTGTGAGCTTTACGCGTCCCACCAATACTTCGAAAACTCAGATCTCTTGCTACATGATTGAACCGATTACTCCACTTCTTCACTATCTCCCTCCGATATTCGGCGTACAGCCGCAGCTGCGGGACTCCAGTCGGCACGTGTTTACATAACCTCCTTTCCAGATTGCTTACATAATCAGCTACTCGATTCGGCTCTCGTGGGCAGGTGTTTACATGATCGACTAAGTCTCTGGACTGTGAGTGATAGATTACATGATCAACTCTCCCGACGATTAGGCCAGATTGATTACATAATCAGCTCTCGGATGACCGACAGATGATTTCAGTAATGAACTTTCTCAAAGAGCGTCAGAAAAACAGATTACATGATATCACGGGTTAGACTCCGCCTCCCACGATTTACATCCTCCGCTGCGATGAAATCCTTGCTCTGTGTTCTACATAATCAGCTGTAGTGACTCCCCCGAGGCTCGACAACTACATGCTAATCAGAAGACAGTCCGAGAGATGAAAGTTTACTGAGCGACCTCGATGCTCCCTAAACCGCCAGACTACATGTCCAGAACCGCAGTCCCCTGGTAAATCACAGGCTCACGTCCCTCGTGAAAGAATGCTCCTCGTCGTCCGACCAATTACATAGCCAATACCGCAACGGCCAATCTCCAGACAGTGCCCTCGCTTTATCCGCTACTCTGAAAGGCAAATCTACATCACAAGCTGCTGCTCTTGGCCCAAATCCCCTGTCCCGCAAATCGAGCTCGTCGGTCGCTGGCAAAGGCAGAGCAATTACATCAGCCAATCTGCTGGGGCCGGTGCGGTGGTGTGCTGTGCTGCGATGGCAGACGAGAGAGCAAGCAAGTGAATGGAGTGATCGATAGAGACGTACAAAGACACAAGACAGAGAGACAAGCAAGCAGGCAGGCAGGCAGGCACGGAGGGAGTGATCAATCTCACGTGAGCCGTCAGCGGGCTACTTCACTGCTCTATAGCTCTAGCGGGTGGCTCAGTCAGGCACTCACTCCCTCACTCACACACTCGCTCAGGGGGCTGGTCACACTCTCAGGAGAGAGAGTGAGGAGGAAGGGAAAGTGTTGCTCGACAACAACAGAAGAGCATCAGCATCATCAGACAGCAGCAGCCGCGATATGAAATCTGAACCCTAGGGAAAAGGCTCCCCCACCTCACTCACTCACAACCCTGCTGCTGCTGCTCGCTCGCAACTCGGTCGCACTTCTGCTCGAGTCTGTCTGTCTCTTCTTCTCTGCTGCTGCTGCTGCTGCTGCTGCTGCGTCGTCCTCGTTCCACGATGAGATCCAAAAATGCTCACACACGACCACACCTGCCCCTAATCTCACTCTACCTCACTCAAGATCTGTGCTCAATCTCCACGCCCTCCGTTCATGGATCTAGTACAACCTCATCCAGCGAAAATGACAGCTAACGACTTCCGTGAACTCAATCGAATACACCTCCCCTCGTCTCCACCCCGTCTCCTCAGCTCGGCTCGGCTCCGTTCCACTCCACTCCACTCCGCTCCGCCACCCTCAGTTCATGTAGCAGTCAGTCTGTCAGTCAGTCGTCCTCGTCCTTCGTCCTTCGTCGCTGCCGTGCCCTGGCCCGATCCGCTGTGCTGTGCTGCGCTGCGTTCCGCTCGGTGCCGACTCGACTGCTCTCGCCTGTGACTAAGCTCCGAAAAGCACGAGGATTCGACGTCTGTCGAATTTATTGGAGCATCGGGGGGTGGGGGGATGGCGAGAGGGGGTGAGGGAGACGCTGTGGCGCTCCGCGGAGCGGCTCGCAGCGTCGGGACCGGGCGTCGGGCGTCGGCCGCCGTGCCCAACCGCCTCGGGGCTCGGTTGACCCGTTCGCCCCCGCGCGTGCCATGTACGTGCACCCGTTCCTGATTTTTGGGAGGCCCTGGGGCAGCAGCAGCGGGCCAGCGGGCCCTTGGGCCCTTGGGCCCTTCGGCTCATGATTCTGCAACGATTCTTCTTCTCAGATCTCGCTCGGCTGCTCCCCCTTGAGCTTCGGAAGTTCACTCTTCTGCTTCCTTCACAGCACAGCGCGCTGCCTCCCCGTCGTCCCCCTCCCCTCGCTCTCTATCTCTCTCTCTCTGTCCCTTTCCTTCGTTCCAGCTTCGCTCAGCGCTTGCGCGTCGGGAGGGTCTCGCTCGAAATATCTGACTCCGCCTCGCCTCTGGCATCGACTTCTCATGATTTCTCGCATGCCACATCCAAAGTGTCAGCTGAATTTCCAGCGTGTGCTGTGCCTCGTTCCGATGCCAGCCGTCAAGCTCTCGTTCGCTCATGTTCACCTCTATTGCCTTACTCTGTACTGCATTGGATGTAACAGTGTCCACGCATGGATGACACTTTGCCTCACGAGCCACGGTGCCCATTCAGCTCCGAGCGCTCTGTGTTGCTGGGTATTTCTTGCGATCCCATCCCCTCGAGTCAAGTGAAGACAACTACAGTAATCGAGTTGTGGTTTACATAAATTACCCATGACATGGTTTTGGAGAGCTTTATCAGCCATGCTCTTGGATGTATGGCAAGTGTAGTTGTAGCCAAGTTCTCGCATTGCAGAGTGGTGAGAGATGAAATTTTTGTTACTCTAGGTTTAGAGCAAGCAGTATGCGATAACCTCATGCTGATTAATAGAGCCGCATATATATATATATATATATATATATATTAGTCATAGTCAACGTTTTTACATTGTTCACAAAGAGTATTAGCTGAAGCACGTTTATTCTTCTGCTCAAGATTTATGTAGAACCGTTTGATCTATTTTCTCTGTATATTCTATGTGAATTATGATATCTTTGTCATTAATATGTCATTGGGGCTAATGATTACCAACAAAATTTGAGAAAATTCAAAACCCATCACATGCTAATTGCAAATATGAAATTTTACTATGTCAAATAACAAAGAATATAAAAAGAACTCATCCAGTCTTGCATGGATGACACTAAATGTTCGAAGTGATTTACTGTATGAACTTATATTGAAGTACAAATAACTCTTTCATCCTCTACACAGTTTGTAAAAATTTTGCTTGATTTTCAACGTAAAATCTTTACTCATTTCAACTGTACTAATTTTTAGCATTAGTCAATTTCATCAAAATTTGGATATTATTAATCAAGATAAACAGATTTGATATCTTAATTTCTTTTTTTTAAAAACTATTTCTTTTTATATATAATCATGCAATAAGTATTTTATCCGAGAAACCTATTTTATTATTTGATCTCAGATTCAAATCTTTGATGAACTAAGTAGATGAAAAAGATCAAGCAATATTTTGGGCATATATATTATAGAAATAGTCAGCTTTCTAGAAAATGTATTTTCATTATCATCTAAATCTGAAAAATATATATCTATGATAATATATATATATATAGCACTCTAATCACACCTTATATTTTACTTTTCTTTTCAAATGAAGATATGTATTGAAAACAAAGAAAATTATCTCATATTTAGTTATTTTCATGATTTGAAGTTTATGTAAAACTCATGACATGAAGTTGTCTTGGGTTTTTATTTCAAATCACTTCAACACATTATTAGATATATGTTTATATCTATGAATGAGTTATGTGTACTAGGAAGAAATAATTAAGTGCTTTTTCTACACTTCCGGACAAACAGAACATTATTCCAAGGCATCACAAAATGTACATACCATCAATGAATATTGTTTATGGTCGAAAAGAACATATCTCAAAGGTTTTTATCGCTGATGTTATATCTGATACTAGTTCTATCTCCTTCGACCGATTGACTAATGACTCTACTAAGTACTAAGCATCCAACTTATTAATTTTAGTCGTATCTAAGCATTTTGTACTCCCAGCTATTCATGGTGCACACTCTATGGATTGGCCCCAGATTTTTATATCAAACAATAATTACCAACTTTCTCACACTACATCTAATATTCATTGTTGTGAAACTTATTTCAGAACCTCTGTTTTCCACCTTTCAAAATTTTGAAATACACATCCATGGATCTATTGGGTTGGTTTTGAGAGGTGTTTTCCTTCATACGCGAGGATTTTTTATTTTGATTTTTTTCCTGTTCTCCTTTTTTCATTTGGAATGAAACCAATGCTTGCTTGTCTTCTTGTTCCAATTAGCTCCCTCTGGTCTTGGCTTTTTATGGGTGTTGGAGACTCAGTGAGTTGGCTGATATCACCAACGGAACAAGATGCACATTTCAAGCATCATGTTCAAACAATTCAAACATCACCATTATGTGAATAGAGTAATCACGAGAAGCAACAAAAAAACACAAACTATTCATGAAAGGAAAAACAATATCCAGAGAAGTACACGACGACCTTAAGACAGGGCAGGGCAGGGCAGGGACTAAAAGAATTCAGACGGGATCCACTATAATAATACTGGCCAACGGAATCTTCCTGGAACCATATTTGATGAGAGCATATGTTTCATGCTCCGAGGGATATCCTTACTGTGCTGCAGATGATTGAGCTTGTGTCGAGCACAGGCACCCATGATGAGGATGATCAAAATCGGGTTACATAGAGGCCCAAAATCCAAACATTAAATGAATGGCAAACGAGAAACTTGGCGCTCTCCCGATGCTATGCAGGTTGCAGGTGCTAACTAACTATGATCAGCCCTCCCCATAGCTTTTCCCCCTTCTTTTTGTAGCATGTGCATTAGGAAGATTATTGGCCTTTTTCTTACAGATAAAGCCTTCATCGAACCCCAAGCACGTACTTTTGGTTCAAGTCTTCAGTCAAACGTGAATGACTAATCACTAATTTCGCCCTCACTTCACGCTGAAGAAACATTAACTGTGGCCCACACATCGTTGCTCGCTTCCAAGAAACAATGTGAAACAATTTGCAAAGACCTCCTGCCATGGCCCACCACTCCTCACCTTCCATGGTCCTCTTTTTGGGCGATATGCAATGCAATATTTTGTCACATACAGTACTCCCTTCCACAAACCCACACATACCCACCTGTCACGTGCACTTCCTTAATTAAATGGCCAGGCACTATTATTTAGCCCCTCCCATGTTTGTAACCCTTCCTCAAAGTACACTTTTGAAGTGTTTTCACGTACAGAGTACAAGAGACACATACATACCAAGGGAAAATCAAGGGCAGAAAGGAGAGAAAGAGAGTATCTGAAAATTTGTTGACCTGACAGCCCGTTTGACTAGAGACTTGAGAAGACCTTGGACCTTGGACGTGAGAGGACGCAATGTGGAAGTGGACGAATTTGAGAATTCAACGCGAGGGTCACCTCCTTTGCTATTGAGGGTAAATTGATGTTGAAATTGAAAAGTTTTGAAAGGATGGTTTTTTTTGTGCTCTCATACTTGAGAATGATTATGGTGACCTTTTCAGGACAAAGGTAGATATTCTTGTTGGACATCGGATCAGATGTGGATGTCTTCATACCTTTTGTAACATAGGGGTGCTAGATCATTAGTCACTAGTATGTAAAGAAACTCATTCAGTACAACTTTGCACAACGTATTCATTGAGGTTGACTCTGTATGTTCCTGTCCAGAATCCTATCTATATAATGGATATTGCTCAATGCAAACAAAGCTCGGAAGCATTTTATCTTCAAGATGCATGTGAAGATATGAATGATTGTCACCACAAATATGTGGAAGAAGCAAACCAATACCCCACTTTCTTCTTCTTCTTTTTCACTTTTCAGAAGGAGCTGGATTATTTTGTGCTTCAAGTATTCAAATATTTTTTGTTTAATTTTTCGTCATTAAATTGCAAAATGTTTGGCAGAAAGCCTTATAGAAAATAATTAGCTTAGGATTATCATATTTGAATAACTAGGAAGCCAAAAGAGAAGGCAACGCTAATATAGCCTAATATGTAGACTTTCATGTCAGACTCGCTAAATATTGTTTTCAATCACAAAAATTACATAACGTATTGAAGACGTTGCTTGAAGGATAAAAGTGTGTTCCCCTATAAACTACTTCGCAAAAAAAGAGTGAACTCCAGAGAAGCAAAAATAATGACAGGGCTTTATTTATTGGGTTGCATGTTCGATTTTGATTATTCCGGGCCCGGCATTTCCCCGGAATATAGGAAAGAAATATATTTTCCTAGAGCACTTTAACCCATTTGGCATTCAAAACAGAGAAAATCTGTAATGTTATCCATATCCCACTCAGTGTCTACTTGCTTCTCTCTTCATCATCATATCGATGCACAAAATTGTACGAAGATGGATAATTGACTAAGCTTAAGCAGCAACTTGACAAGTGTTATCTACAATCTAGTGTATCTCTTTCTCAACTCTTTTTGTATACATTGTATTTGTACTTGGGAAAATGATCAAGTCTCATATATGATAATCACGCCATGAAATTTGAAGTAAAAATCGAGAAAAATGTTCAATTACCTAGATTATTAAATTGAAGCTGACAAAAATTGTGCAAACTAGATAGTGAAGTTGTTCGAGATACAATATAAAGAAGAATCAAGCCTGCACCATTTGATTTGGTTTGCAAACAAACCAAATCAATCTAAACGTAGAAGCGCAATATGTTTGTTAGAAGCTAGCTCACAAACGTCTACAACAGTTCCGTATTGCAGTGTGCCAAATGAAACATATGAAACAATTTGTATTCTATATTGATGCAAAGATATACACATATATCTATAAGTTTTTATGTGATATTTGATATGCAAAATATAATGTGAAATGTTTTTCTATGGCTATATAAATTTGGTTGCTTATGGTAGTTAAGACAAAAACAATATGTGCAGATTTTCAGCATTATTATCTTAACTCAAATATTTACAAAGATATTGTATAGTTTCAATGATTCAATAAAATATATGTACTTATGTCAAGTTTTTTACTGTAAATTAGCAATATGTTTCCATACTTTATTCAAGAAAAAAATTAATATATGAATCGTCTAAACACAATTATATCAATCAGCTCTCGTCATACTTAAATTTGAATACAAATGTATCATGTGTATGGAGCCGCTAGTCATCACTCACTTCCAATTTTAAAGAACCCATGCGCACTTTTCTCGTGCTCCAATTGGCTGGATGGAAAGCACTATTAAAAATGAACACTAATAATATAGAACCAACGCAAAACTTCATGAATACAAATCGTTGAAACGTTGAATCAAAAAGTAGCCATATTGACATCAATAGCTACTTTTTATTATGGAATTATTCTCGACAAGAAGATTGACTCTCCACAAGCGTTACCATTTCGAGAAATTGCTCATTCACGTCCAGTGGGTATCCGAAATGGTACCATTCGTCCTCGGCACCAAGAGCATCAAGATACCCCGCGGCAGTTGCTGCTACAATTGCCGATGCAGTCACTGCTCGAGCGCGAGAAAAGTGTGCAAGGTATCTTTTAAATTGGGGGTGAGTGGTGATTGGCGGCTCCCATAACTATATATAAGATTATTTGAATTAGCTCTTATTTCCATTTTACATAATATAATTGCACATTTCATGGATTAGATTATATATATAAAATAAAGATATCTTATTTAACAATAGTTAAATAATCACAATACTAAGTAGATTTTAAATCTATATTTTAAGTAATCATATTTATGAATATACATGTTAATTCTTTCATGAAAATTTTTTAAAAAGATAATTTAATGAATTTTTTTATAAATGATCATCAATAAGTCATGAAAGTAAAAAATACGATTGATATATCAAAATTATAATTTCCCATGGAATATATGTTAAAAATAAAACTTAATCAGTAGATAAATGTCATTTTCTTATGGAGGCCTAAGAGAGATAAGATAGAAGGTAACTTAAGCATTTACCTTTACCTTACCTTTTAACTCACTCACACCACTATGGTCTTCACCCTTTACCTATACCTCAAGGTAATTACCCGGTTACTTGGTACGGATTCTTAAAGCTTTAAAAATTATCCTTATCTGAGAATTACTCGATATATCTAACTTTTAGGATAAAATGTGAAGATAATAGGGTAATTTACCTGTTTGATAACTGGTAAATTGTCAAACTAACTTCCTCAAATTGTGTGTTGTCTGAAGAACATGTGTTAGGCGTGGTGAACGGAAGATTTGTTAAGTATGCCTCCCTTGCTTTCTATTCTGTAATTTGGCCCCAAATCAAAAAACTAGTGACAACAATGCAAAAGTCAATTTGCCATTAAAAAGTTCATCAAGCTCATCAAGCACTTCATTCTCTTCTTGTTTTCCATCCAGTTCCGTGATGAATGAAAACTCTACAAATCATCTCTGTCGGATGCTGTCAAGTGCAAGAGGTTAAACTTTAACTTCTTATCTACACTTTGTGCTTTCACTAGATTATATAGAACAACAATTGCGATCGGAATTATGAATTCGGACTTAAACTTGCATTGTTGTTTTTCCGATCTCGTCTTTAGTTAGAATGTGGAGAATTACATTCTGAATAATTCTGAAAGTATCACATTTATGTTTTTTCGGGTAGGAGTGTTATATAGTAATTACTAGGTAATCCACTTGACTTGACTTGACTTAACCTTATAACCAAAACTCTAACTTCTACCCTTACATTTTACACTTTTAACGAGTAACTCTAAAAGGTTAAGTTACCTTGCCGAAGCTTATTCTTATGCAAGATTTAGTATCCAATCCAAAACTTGAAATAATACTTTCGATTTTTTTGAGTCTTCAAAGATCAAAATATGTGGATATCAAAATATCCACATTGAAAAAATTCCACATGCAATGTGAATGCTTGTTCAATGTTTATAGTATTAATTCTTTTTTCTTAAAAGTTTCATACTACAAATTTGTAGAAAGCATTCTACTGTAGTGTACTTTTATTGATGATCGAGCACTTTCTCAATCAATACCACTTCATTACCATGTGTATAGTGGTTGACTAGGGCCAAACTCCACCACGGCTCACACGCATAACTTTTGATTTCGCAATCCATCACTCAAAAGCGTTGTTTCCTACAATATAATATGCACATCATTCCAGATCTAATGAAGTAACGAAAATATGATATCCCCTACATCAAATCAAAAGAGGGTCCTAGCAATACCAACGAGGGTGCAATAAAGCCAATAATTTCACTTACTCTTTCACACTACAAACCTATATTAGCCCAAGGTATTCGAATATAAGATCATGCAAATATCACGTTTTTCATGTTCTGCTGAGCTGTAGCATTCCATAGAACCATGGATAAATAATTAAACTTCAACAGTGTGATCTATAATGGACCATACATGGCATGGGATTTATTTTCTCCAAAGCTATCGAAAACAAATTCTTTGCATTGCTGAGCAAAAAAAATTGTGCTTCATATTCATAGAATAGGGAAATCACGAATACGATACTTTAAGCTCTTATTTCTTGTCTTCAGGGAATGGCGCTCGATGGGACTGCCCCTCTCGATAATTTCACAGCGCTGCTGGTGGTCGAGGAATTTGATGTTTTGTGGCGTCGTCAAGAGCATTTGCATTTCACAGCGACTGGCCTCCGGGCAGAGATTTGCCTGTGAGAATCAGGGGGCAGAGATGGTGCCGACGAATTCGAATCTCCTCTCGGCGATGGCGAGTTTTGCCCAAACCTTGCGAAGGGTGGAGATGGATCGTCATCTTTTTCTTGTCGTCCGGCAAATTAAGCTCGATTTGCTCGAAGAATTCGCCGTTGGAGCTTTCGAGCTTTTGTCGCCGTGAAGAAAGGAAAGCGATGCGGTGGAGAAACGAGTCGGCGATCGCCTAATTTCACACGAGACGTTTATTGAAGGAGGGAGGGAGCGATGGAGTAATCAATTCGCTACCGGAGAATGAGAAGAAAAGTCTACGGCCCGTGGAAAGCGAAGCGATCGATCAAAACACTGCTCAATGTGCTCTCGTTTGTGCGCGAGAAAGCAAGAGAGAGAGAGAGAGAGAGAGTGAGAGGAGGAGGAATGATTCACATCGGGTGCAGAGGACCGACCGACCAGGCCTTCCTCCGTTCACAGGTCTCATGCGGTCTTGGCCCGTCGATGCATCACGTCGCCCCGTCAGCGTGCCATCGCCATCTCCATCTCCATCGACGCCGCCGGACCGAGTCGCAGAATCCGTGCCAGTGGGTGGAGGGCAAAATCCACCCGAACGGGGCCACAATTCTCCGCCCTCGCTGGCAATCTCGGGCCAAGATCCGCACAGATTCATCGGTGACGGAGAACCGCCATGTCGGCCTCCCTCCGAGCGGGCGGTCGGGCACTCATGATCAGCCCGAGGTCATAAACACCTTCCGTCTGATATTTCCTGCCTCCTTCGGGCCTCGGTCTACATTCAGCCATAGCTCGCAATACCCTCCCACGAGTGCTGACGCATCTGCCGAATATGCAACCATTTGAACGAGATCGTTAGGGCATGATCTGCAGCAGATTTCAGAGCACATTCTTTTCCCTCTTTAATGAATTCCCGTCCATGCGCTCTTGGAAATATTCTGCGAGCTCTGCGAGACTACTGTGCACGTTTGGGGGAATTTCCGAGCGCCTGAGCAGAAGTGCAGATCACACTTCGATCACTGTTCTCCGTGCGGGGAAGGAAGGAATTGGGCTCAAGTTTTGCATTTGCTGGTGTCGAGTCTTATCCATCAGAAAATGGGGGGAGAATAAAGAATTGAAGGGCATAGCTTTCTTTCAAGTGGCAGACGAGGCCGTGAGCTCGTGAGCCAAAGAGGAGGGAGGGGAGAAGCAAACAAGGCGAGGATCGCATCATCGTTCTTGGTAGGAAAGTCAACAGTCTAGTGCAGGGCCAGTGCAGCGGCATGATGTTGCAATCCACAACAACAAAAGTTGTTCCCTTGTCGTCAAGTTCCCAGACTTCCCACCTCAACTCCGGTCATCGCCATAAAGTGAATCCTTTGATTTTCCCTTTCTCTTCCACTTGCTCACGAAGTCCTTCCACTTGGGCTGGAGGTATGGATGCAGGCATGGAGGACGGGCGTCGAAGAGGAGGAGGAGGAGGAGGAGGACGGGTACCCCCTCCCTCCCCCTCCCCCCACCACCTTTTCCACTCCGATGGCGATCGGCCGTCCATGGTACATTCTGTCGTCCATGGGTTCTATCCAGCTCTCGAGTGTTTTAAAATCTTAATTTGATGCTCCATTGTTCCTTTTCGAGCTTGCAAGTCTTCCAGGCCTGACCCACCAGCAGGGCCGCTTTTGCCACAGTGGCCCAGAAGTTTCTCTCCCAAACCATGAGAATATTTCGGTCTCGAGCCTGTGCATCGGGCCTTCTTCTCTCGACCCCACTGGAATGAATGTTCACTTCCATTCCCAGTTCCAGAGCTGTCTGTGCATGCAGAAGTGGCAGAGCCAGGGCCCCCTGAGCTTTACATGTGGACAGCCAAAGTCTGTGGATCCCGCTTTAGGAAACTACGGGACCGAGGAAGAGTGAGGGCGTAGGACTCCCCCATGGCTGCCCTCCGTCGTCCCGGATGAGCTTGGATGGGATTGGGATGGTATTGGGGAAGGATTTCGTTCGATGATTCGGCCAGAAAGGTGGGCTGTTCACTCGAAACGAGGAAATTTCTCTGTGCTGATCGAGAAAATACCTTCCTTTGCCCAACAGCTTGCCCCGAGCTCACATCCCAATCAGCTCCGAAGCTTACAAGTCTGGTCGGCTGGCACAACAGTCCCGCAACTGGTCGGTCGGCATAACCCGACCATTGCTCCACTTCTCCAGCAAGCGAAGAAATCCTGTACAATGCAAGGCAAGGGACATGCACATCTCCGTCTCGAGGTCCGAATGGTTCGCTTGCTGCATACCGTGGACAGTACAGTACAAGTGCCTCGACCAGCTTGGCGGCGAGCTAAATATCTCGGAGGAGGGTTGGGTTGCAGCTTTTCTTCTACCCTCGCCCTCTCGTCTTTACAGATGACAGCGGTGGAAAGGAGACCCAGGACATCTGTGACCTCCTCGTCCGGGTCATCTGCTCTTCACACTCAGCGAGCTCAGAGCGATCGTAGAGCGGCATTCCAAGCGAAAAGGTGTTGAAGTCGTTTACAGCCGTGACCGGAAAGGAAAAACTGGGAAGAAGAGTGGAGTGCCTCTTCACGTCAACGGAGACCTACACGAGCTTGTGGTAACTCAGTCAATGGGGCAAGGGCCAAGTCAAAGATACGAGACAAGTCGACAGACTGTGCAACTGGGGCTTTGGGTCCCACTCTCGGGTTAAAATCTGGGCCTCTTGGCCACTTGTGGTAGTTTTCTTTTCTCGTTATAACAATATAGAATTCAGGACCGCTCTTGCAAGTATCGGATTGCAGGCCAGGCCGACTCATGGTCTCAACAAGATAGAAACGGAGGTGCAGAAAACTTTATAAGCACAGAGCAACGTTTGAGGAAGACTGCATGATTGAGACGGCTGGTTCATGTTTCAGTCAGTCAAGGTTAGAACAGTGGGTGAAGCCTTGCGTGGATGTTCCACCATGCAGGGGCAGTCCCACCGATTGAACGGATTGTAGAGCAAAAGTTCGCTTGTTGTAGAGTGAGGGACAGGTGAATGGAATCACCCACATTTTCCAATGGGCAAGTGATTTTATTGCGAAAATTTCGAGTTTAAAATAACCTAATTCTCTCTCAAGAATTTTACAATTTCTCCCGGGTGGACGAATGGCCTTCATGTATTTCAAAGTGTCCTTCTACAAATTGCTCCACAATGAGATAGGGAGCGTTCTACTTGACTCGCTGTGCTTAAAACAAACACTTGAAGAAACCAATCTATTCTTAACTGGACTAGCTTACTTCGGCTGTTGAACTCAATCGTGTCGGCCGCAGGGTCGAAAATTCTAACTGTACTTTTCACTTCTGAATTTTCGACTAGTCAAGTTCGAAAAACTATACATTGATAAGCTTCTAGTCGGGGGAGACTAGGAAGCTTAAAAATAAAGGGGGAATGCTGATTCCGGTGACGGAGAAAGCTACCTACAATTGTGCGTGGGATCAGAGCAGGTTAGTATAAACATTACCAATCTAACGACCAAGCTCGCAGCATAGTCCTAAGGAAGAACGGTGTATGCAAGATTCGGCGGAGGAGGTTGATGATCTCGTTTCGCCAGGAAAGTATGAGCATCGTTCTGAACTTGCCAAAGACTGCAGTGCCAAAGGGCTGCACCGTTGTAGTCCCTCCACAGTGGTACTTGTCCGAGGGGCACATTCCCGACGCAGTCCTTTCTTACACACCGTAGAACCTCGCGATCTGGTTCGCAGTAGTCGGGCACTACCACACATCCGATTGCTATGTAGCCTGCAGGGGGTCGAGGTTTCCATATAGTTACAGGTTCCCTTGCGCCACTCTCCGTATCTCTCCACACCTGAAACACCCAGGCGCCAAAGAATCAGTTTTACACAGACAGATGACCGTGTGCTTCACATTCGCGAGGAATGTAGAACAATATAAAATACTGACCTTCAGCCTCGAGAAACGAAGAAAAGGAGAACTACAAGCTCCATCATTCTACATCTACGAAACTATTCGGAATAAGAGATTGTGACCCAAGACTAGGAGAACAATTATTCTGCACCCACAGGTTTCTGTGTCTGCAGGGTAGACGGAGAGAAGAATTACCAAATCAAATCCATCTGGAAGGGTGAACTTTCCATCATGATCATCTCTATAGACCATTGCACTGTCTGGTGGGTCATAGCAGCGCTGCACAACGTCACCTACAGATATAAACCTGCATTCAAAAGATAACCCGTTCTCTTGATTTATGTCGCAGTCAACTGCATGCTGGTCATTCAACACGATTGATGCACAAACGTTGTCGACACAACGTCGCTTGCTGAATGGCACTAGCATAAATGGCAATGACATTCCGGAAATGCAGTAACGGCTTGTTGAAGCATAAAATGAGAAATAAAAGATTCTGACAGCCTCAGTTTGATATCTTCTGACTTTTGTCAAATGATAGAACTCAGCAAACAAATTCAATAAAATGATGGAACTTGAAAATTACCCTGATGGAGCAACGGGACGCCAGATGGAAACCTGGAACTTTTTGCTCCACGGAGCTCCCTGTGTGAACCAGCAGCCGACGAGGAGCATTAATCAAGTGTTTCTCTCGTTATCTTTCTCTTCGTTCAGTCGGTACTATCTGTGATACAAGATATCTCCTTACGACCAAACCCACTTCACTTCACTAGATTTGTCATAGCCTCACTTCTTGCCCGGTTTGAAAAATCCTAGACTCAAGTCAGGACTCGCAGGAAGTTGCAGACTTACTTTATCCCACCACATGAGTTCAAACTCATTGATGAACTTTCCAACTTGCACTCTACCCAGTGAATCTGATCTCAACGACTGGTCACCGAAGTTGCCACGTGCAGAACGTATACTTTCCGCAGGGGGCAATTCGCTCTCATTCTCCAGCATTGCCGAGCCTGCCCCTCCAATCAACGCACCAAATGTGGCCATCACTGGCACAGCAATTGGAGCGGCTGGGCCAGCCAGCAGACCAAGCGCTGCACCTGATGCAGCACCAGCTCCAGCAGCTGCATAGGGCTTCCTGATTGACGGCCTCCTGGATAGCCCTCCCTAATAGCACTTAAGAACTTCAGTAAGCAAGAAAAGATGAATTGCAATACAGCAGCAGTAAATATGCCCTGTTGCAGTCTAAGAGGTGCTTCAAAGTGAAGTTTGTTACATACTCAAGCTTCAGTCCAAATTGGCAACTCCAAAGTAGTACTTCGGCAATTTCCTCATCCATCTTCTTACTCCAACAACAAGTTTACCTGTGTGACGTTGGCTCTATCAGGTCCATAGGTATCGTAAGCTTTTTGAATCGCAAGACGAATTTCAGCCGCCTGTTTAGTGCCAGGATGGCACTTGACGATTCGAGCGATTTCCTTACTGTCGAAGAGCCTTGTATCTTGGGACCAGTTGCGAAGATGGATGATTAGACGTGAGGGGGGTAAGCTAAGTGGCTCGTCTTTACCCTGAGCAAGCTCCATAGTCATGAAGTCATCCCAAGTAACATCCCAAGACACCGTGCACGGGTCCTTCAAAAGATCAGCTCGTTTCTGAACAATTACACCAGACGGATGCTGCCATGACATCAAACATTTATATCAGATATGATGACCGTAATGGTCTACGACTCCAAACACATAACTTCAAACGCATGGGCGCTGACTGGATGTGCTAACCTGAAGCATGATGATTCGACGATGAGTGATCATCAACGTTCTTCCCTTCGGAAGATTGAAATGATCCTCATAGGCATCCGACATGGCAAATTTACCACGCACTTTGAAAAGGTCGATCGGTCCAAAGATGGCACCGCGCTCTGCTAGTTGCATGAGAACCTGGTGAACATAACAACGTGAAGACAAAAAAGTTGCTTCAAATAAAAGGACAAACGCTTACGGACATTTCCAAATATGGTACGATGCATGGTCCGACTAGGTCAGAAAATGATTCTGTGATTTCCAAGAGCCAAAAGAACCTTGCACATGATTATGTGACTGTCCATCTCACTGTTACTTAATTTTACCACAGATAATTACTTAATGACTTAAGGGCTTGAGTAAAGTTTGGCATCCATAGGCCACCTTAAGATCAGTTTTCGATTTTCGACTTCAGGCTCATGTCAGTATACATATAGTGATTATTTTCTTCAGATACGGATCCCGATAACTTCAGATAACTCCATCCCGATTTTCTCAGGATGGAGTTAGCACCAGGAGTTTCAAGATAGTCTCAACCCAAGTGTGGGGGCCGTTATCTAGAATCTGATGTTGCAGTTGCTGCTCAGTTACATGCCCACCTTATCCTGAGAGATATGGGTGAGATGGGGGTGGTCGCAAGCTGTGGCTACTTCAGGCGAGTCAATATGGGCATCAAGCACTACTGCTAAAACATATGGAAGACGCCCTAATCAGCTGCGGAAAAAGAGTTCAGAAAAAATAAATTTGTGATACCTGACATCCAAGAGTATTGTAGCTATGAAATGTGCCGAGTTTTTAAATGTACCAACAAATTCAAAAAAGGAAGTTTGATTCTCTCGAGATTTTCTGTATGCTGAGACTAAATACCTGCCCTCGAGCTTTATACTCGTCGTAAGGTCGGAGCACGTTATCCCCGCCGATTACTCTTGGAAGTCGTCGTCGTACCAGCACTTCTTCAAACGTGATAGCTGCTGTTAGCTTCATACGGGTAGCATTTGCACCCTCCGTGGTCCTCGAGAGGAAGTCGAGCATCCCACTCATGGGCTGAATTGCTGCACCAATAACACCCTTCCCTACCCCTTGGACAAAACCTTCCATGCCTGCTGATCTCGCTCCTTCAAGAGGTTTTGTCAGTATGCCTGTAACACCTCTGAAAAAGCCTTTAGCTAGAGCTTCACCTCCTTCACGGAGTCCGTCTCCTATATCTTCGACAGTTGCTTTGCTATCCTGCATAGATGCCGAAATAGAGTTATTCATGAGGATCAATAGATGTATTTACTCACACAAAGACAAATACTAGTGCAACTACCAAGTTTAAAAGTAGACACAACCATACGGTAGAAGCTTCGAAAGAAATTCTGTATAAAGCCTGTGAAAGTTTGCAGGACAAGCGCAAAGTAAGACAGGATACAAGTTCAAGCACTGCAAAATGAGAACATAGAGACTCATTGCACATTTGACGTGCTAAGAGAAACTCAGAAGGCAAGTGCGAAGTCAATACAACGTTTTCTGACGAAATATCGTTAAAAAATACACATAACAAGTGATAATTCGTGTCAGCAAAACGGCAGGAAAGCTCGACCGCATACTAGAAAATTCTTCTAATAAGTATCGTTTGTCAATCCTTACTGCAAGTAAAGATTTACCCTGATGTCGTGAACATTCCATGAAAGTAAAAGCTACAAAAGAAGCCCTCGAATTTGTGGATGGTCGATGCAAAACGAAGGTCTCGTGACATATCTAACCTGTTTTTGCCGACTGCGAATAAACTTTTTGTCCATCGAAAGGGCAGCTACTCCCTTACTCATGTGGCCGAAAGCAGTGCTGGCATTACCCAGTAAATCCACTCCTGATAGCAATGCAAATGGTTGACTGAGCACGTCATTCCGAATACTGGAGACGGCGGCTGCGAGAAGTGCACTTTGACGCATTGTCATCTCTTCGTGTACTCTTGGGGTAATTCGTATCTGCTCATACGACGACATCAAGCGATGAGGGGAGCTTTCACGACATACTTTATTTTCGTCATACATGAAGACAATACACTGAGGATCAATCAGGTTCAGCTTCTCCGTGAGAGTCTCCGACTTGAAGGTGCAAAGTGACAAGAGAATGTGAAGCATACCGGCATTTCATCAGTGTTCCCAAGGGATGTCATGAGAGTTGACCAGAATCCCAGCATTCCACGTGGTCGCTGAGTTGGAGACATTGCTAACGTGACTTTGAAGCGAATTTCAGTAGTATGCAGAAGCCTACGAAGACAATGGATATCATGTCAAATGATCAATTCCAATCAACACTTCATGCGTAAAGACCCAACTACAAGATCTGAAACCACTGAGAAATTACCCGATACGGATGATTGGGTCTATGGCCACATCGGTAGTCTGACTAGTTGTGAGTCGCTGCAGATTCCACTGCCTGAACATCTCGTGAAGACGCCAAATGATTGGTTCATGTATTCTGACCAAAAATGCTACAGTCGGGATGCTCGGGCCCTGCAGCAATGCTCGATGTCAGCGGAGAAGCGACATTAGCTTGCAATGGTAGAATGCGGAAGTTATGGAGAGGACTACTTCCTAGAACTTGGGTTTTGTACGCGTCCACAACACAAGATCATGCTCCTCAAGGATCAACCTGACGAAAGGAAAATAGAAAATAGACACATAAACCCACCTGTATGCCTATATAAGGATATGAATAACTGTCAGGAAGTCCATTTTCCTTGGTTGTCGCCGTTAACTTTAGAAGGAATTCGGGCCGGTTACCAGAATCCTGTGGGCTAAAAAGGACAGGCATTGGTGTCAAAGGCAACTGATTATCGACTTGCAGTCCATCCACTCGAAGCTTATACCTGGAACATTTCCAAAAGAGGGATGTTAAATGCGCGCAGTCCAATGTATCACATAACATGGATACTAGGTAAAAGACGACGGCGGCCACAATCACTCACGAATGGGCTACTGATGCTGGACGTGAGTGTTAAAAGTAAGTGGCTAGGGCTAAGATATAGGCTGAGCAATTAGCTCTCAAAACAAAAGACCAACGAATCTCGCATTTCATAATGTTCGCATGAGACATATGATACGATAACTCTATCAAGACCAATGGCAAGTCGGTCCTGTATGGTCTAGAGAAATAAAACCCCAACAAAGATGGCAACAGGTGGGTCTGCCATTGGAACATTCAAAGTAGTGCTTTTTTTGACAGTGGCAAACTTATAAGACGACATGCCGTCAAAATTCTCTGACAAACTTAAGCAAAGCGGAAGACAAAAATGTCAGCATTTCCTTACCGATTTGTACCAGAGCCAAGACCGGTCGCATATGATAAAGTGAGGTTTTGCAGAGTTATGTAGAGTAGCTCTTCAGGTGTGTGATCGACGATCGAGATTCCAAGCTCAGCTAATTCCAAGATGGCATGAAACTGGTTGTCGCTTCCATTCACTGCCTGGACTGGTTCAGGCACTCGGACTGAGGATCCCGATGGAGTACTGGGAACAATGGACAAGTCCGAGTCGCTGGGTTTCCAATCTGTTATTCTGACTACTTTCAACGAGCCCTCTTTATACACCCTCACATTCAGGGCTGCAACAGAACCTCCTCTAGTTGGCATTGGTTGCATCTCAGCAACGTCGTCAATGCAGACCTTACGCGCCGTCGCTTGATCAGCTCCATCAACAAGAAGTTCCAACAAACGTTCTCTTTGTAAATCTTCCCACGCAAATGAAGCAGCGTATCCAGGCTGTAGGAACTGCCAAGAGTCTCCACTCCCACCTGCTTGACGGTAACGGAAAGGCAAGACTTCTGACCGGTTCTCAATCCTGGAAATACACATGACCAGTATTATCGAAAACTCGGACGACCCAGAATACATTAAGTTACATCGAATAATAAAATCCCGAGAGACTAGTATCTACAGTATAATCTCATCGGAAAGGTAAAGATAGAGAATCTGCTCAAAACTAACAATCTGAAAAGGTACTAGAGTCAGGACAAACTAAAAGCACATTGGAGACAAAGAGTCCTCTGTAAATTGTTCGGAGCATCTCTTACCTGTAGGCGCCAAGGAGAGAAGCCCGTCGGAACACCACGACAAATCGAGATCCCTTGACACCACTGCGGACCTCCGTCTGGACAACAAACGGGCTCTTTCCCTCGCCTTGCAGGATGATGCGCATCATACCCTCTGTTTCTACACTGAAAGTTTGACTCCAGTTGTAGCCTTCGAGACAAACCTATGACCATAACAGATCATTCCATATTAAACAGCCCCCTTGTTCTCGAAGATGATTTGATTTCAAGAGTCCCTCATCTGAAGCTTATGTAAAAACTTGAATTCCAAAAATAACTGAAGTGGTGTTAGGTATGAGAAATACACTCAGAAGTTCGGGTTCAGACGTAGACTGCCACAGGATAGTTCTCGCAGCATCGTTTGGGTAGAGGAGCTCTTCGTTGTCAACATCATCCTGGCGTAAACTGAGTCGTTGCCCAAGGCGGTTAATGAAAACCGTATGCGGCTGGAGGTGTACAACCTAAACACATCACACATTTCATAACGAAGAGATTGTATAAGAAAGGTACAACCTGTATCGACTTAGAAGTTGAATCGTATTTACACTGAAATAACCTTCAAGGACAAGTTTCAAAAGCAAGTCTCTAATTAAGCAATGTAGAAAGAACATATCGCTAATGTATTCGCTGGCAATTTGGGGCTCCTAGAATCTAAACTACATAACACCTTGGTTCTATCTGATGACATATCCAGGAAGGCGGATAGCTTGTAGTAAGCCCCCGTTCCATCAACTGCCTTGAAGTCCACCCACTCCATCTGAAATATCAACAGATGTTTCGACCCATTCAGTTACATCATCCAAAACCTGGTAGGCATATTGCTTCGTCCATGGTCCTAGAATCCACTCTTGACATCTTTTCTTTTAAGGGCATGTCAGAGCACGCAATGCAAAAAGACACGTACAGCTTTCCAACCACTCAACTGTATTGAAAAAAGCTTTGTCCTAATTACTTGGGCTAGCGAGAGGTGAACTACAACCCCTATAGTGAAGGCCAACTGGAAGACATGATCTCTTGCATATTAAGCTGACATCTTTTAATAGATTTTACAAAACAATCTGAATTTAAGTGGGCCGCCATCTCGTGGACCTTTCTTCAAAGGTCGAGATTTGACGAAGTTGCAAGATTGATATATGACAGTGAAATCCAGAAACCAAGGAACGGACTCTCGAGTGAAAATAACTAAAAGCCAGCAACCACAAAAGAAATAGAAAATACTGATGTACATCAGTATACTCGCAGTTGTCGCTCCAGTAAGTATGAAACTAAATGACAGCCTAGAATAGAGAACGATAATAGAAAGTGGAAAGCTTACATTCTCTTCGAAGTCACGGAATGAAAGAGCAGAATTGCAGCGAGTATTATTCCCGATTGTGACGGAAAGCCCAAGACGGGGAGAAAGCCTACCACCTTCGGCATTATTTGCAAGAGACAGTCCTCCTATTCTATCGGACTGGGCTTGCAAAGAGAGCATCACAGGAACTCCAGAGAGTTGTTCAATGAGCTCTATGCTCTGAACCACCTTGTGAAGATGTGATTTGCTGGCTTCACCAGCGCGTGCTGGACGCCTCGCAGCCTGTTTGGCAGCTTTGGCTGCTCGGGTCAGCCACGATGAATCACCAGTCGCTCCTCCACTAGGTTCAATTTCAACTAATCGATAATTTAGTGGCAAATCAGCATCATTGCAAAGCCAGTACGGAACGAACAAGCGCACAATCTTTGCTGATCCTGCTGTGCTCCCGAAGTCATTTTCCAAGCTAACGCGTAGCTTCCTAAAAACAGGCAGTTCTCTGTCAGTACTTGAAAACTGAAAGATAAAGAACTGCATCCACAACTAAAAGAATTATTTTATAAGAATGAAGCTTCCTCTGAAATGGAATGAACCCACTTTTCATTCCACGCCTGGAGGTTTCAAGCGGCACTGATATAGATCCTTAATACTTTACTTTTTTAAAGCGTTTCCGGTACTAAACACGGCATGGGTTTTGTCCGGTGTGGTGAATCACAACACTGAGTGAAAAATAAGATACAAATGTCTTCATTTACTATTCGCACCTGCCATTTTGCTGGTGTATAATCCAGAAACCTGACGGTAGACTTTCCACTGACGGATCGGATATAAGAACCGCTTCCTGCAGACCACAAGGAAATATGGTAAGGGGAATGAGCTCCTCCTATGAATTCATTTTGGCAAACGATGTATTCATAACACTTTGGTTCCTTGAACCGTTTACCTTTTCAGTCTTCCATCCACCCTGTGCCAACCAAGTCAAATAAACAGGTCTCCGAACGTCGACATAGTGGAGATACACACTATCTCCGGCATCCACAACGTCCTGATGACGCTTCAACAAGGTCGTCCCTTCTCTTGTCTTCTCCCAGATAATGAACTCAGCTTTACAAGGAAGACGATTTTCAAGTTTTAAAGGTGCGTTCACGGATAATCTCCAATCATAAATTGGTGTGTTCAATTCAGTATAAAGTATGCTGGCGTCCGCTTCCATATTCAGCCAGCTGAAGCCCTTGGATTTACTGTCGGAAGCAGGGAGACAGAGCAGTAGCTCTTCCGTCTTTTCAAGCTGATTCAAAAGAAATGAAGAAATCGGCACACCGTTTGAAGTCAACCGTGTAGCCGTCCTGCTGCCCGACTGACTACCCTCGTCATTGGTACGGCTACTACTTGATGAGTTGGCATCGACAAGAGCTCGACCCCACGAGTACTGAACAGGATCAGTATGGGGACGAACTTGAACACAGAAGTCGGTCTTCGCATCGATACTTGACCATGGAATAGAAATGGAAGCGTTAGGCTGGACCAGACCAATGATATGCCTTGTTCGAACAAACGTACTCTCCGGCACGCGTTGTCTCGTGCGCACCCTGCGCCGTCGCCTGGCAAAGTCAAAAGTTGATTTTTTACTAGCCTTAGTAGAGGTGGGTGGCCACTTCAGACTCTGAAAATCTGCACCATAATACCAGCCCTCGTTGTCCACATGACTTGCTTTGTCTATAACCCAGTCCGAGGTCCAGATCCAACCAGGGGGCAATCGCTTATCAATAAAATCCTACATGGAACGCCAGATAAAATCGGAAGACACGTCAGCGTTCTTCATATTTGCAACAGTTTGTTTAAAAAATTTCACATATAGAGCATCAAAAGCTTGCTAACCAAAAGCATAAGGATTAATTACAGAACAGCCTCTAGGATAACGATAACAGTACAAGAAAGTACCTGTGAAGATTCAGAATAGTCACGACTGCTCCAACGACCAGGATCAGTTGGCATCAGGTGACCAGGCCACTTGCTACCCCAACCACCAAGAGGCTGAAATCGCTGATTCTCAAAAACCTCTTCAACTACCAAGTCCAGCTCATCAGCAGCACTCCTTCCACCATCAGGTGTATTCAGACGAGACAAAGGGCATATGCAAACATCGAGTTCAATATCTGTCTTGTTGACTACCATAACAAGGCTACGCACTTTCACATGCTTTAGGCCTTGCTGCATGGTGACTTCGACTGCCAAATGTTGGTCACCAATTTGCTTCGGGACAGTGCCCAGGGTTAATGCAGAGCGCAAGCCGGTCCACGGTCCTTCAGAATTAGACGAAAACCATAAACCCATGTCACTACCAAGAACCTCCTTCTTCTGAAATCCTGAAGCACTTTCACCATTTGCTGGCTGATTTGGACCAGATGTGAAAAAAAACATGCTGACCGTTATTGATCCACTGCTGGGTCTTGCACCACCACTGACACTTTCCTGCGAAATGAGGCATTGTTCATTACTCGCCCTCCCATCTTCTGATTGAAGGCTACTAATCATTCCAGGTTAACAACGTCGTTCAGAGCATCCATCATAATACTTGAAGAGACCCCAAAACTGTCGAGAAAGAGCGATAAATGTAGAATCTGTTATTCCCTAATTCTTTCATATATCACACACATAACACTCTTGCTCAAATAAAATCGATTGAACAACATTATGAACCGACGTCATAGCGGTGGCAAGACAATTGATGGTGAGGAAACTGTTTGGCAAAACCGCTCCCATAACGCTCTTGCTAAAATAAAATCGATTGAACAACATTATGAACCGACGTCATAGTGGTTGCAAGACAATTGATGGTGAGGAAACCAGATCTGGTTTGGCAAAAACCAGATCCAGATCAACAACGACTGCTTAGTGCCCCGTCGTTGTTGATCTGGAAATCTGGTGAAATACCTTCTGCTGCTAATCCTTATATACACCAAACATGCAGTGACCGCTAACATTATGGGTTTTTTCTCCATTTGAAGGCGCGATTCACTTCGTTTCCAATACGTGATTGACTCGTTCTTACTGCAGATTGCTTTCACCAGAGCAAATGCAGATCAGAATGTTTACATATACTCTCAGGAGAAAGCATTTGTGTTTTTAGCACTATATGTGGACGACTGTATATTGGCAAGTAATTCCTTGGATCTTCTTACAAAGATCAAGAAGAAACTCAAAACGGAGTTCGATATGGTGGACTTAGAAGAGATCCATCAGTGTCTTGGTATGCAAGTAGACAGAAATCGTGAAGAAGGGTGGATTCGGATCTCCCAACCACGATATTTGGTTGAAAAGCTTGCGACGTTCAACATGGCTGACTGTAAGCCTATTGACACACCAATGGAACCCGGTTTGAAGTTAAGTGTGCTTGACTCTCCTAATTCAGTGGGAGAAAGTCAAGAGATGAAAGATATACCGTATCAAGTTGCTGTTGGAAGCTTGATGTGGGCAATGGTCTGTACTAGACCTGACATATCTTATGCTGTGAGCTCAGTAGCTCAGTTCATGTCAAATCCCGGATTGATGCACTGGAAGGCAGTTAAGAGAATTTTCAGATACCTGAAAGGGACTCTCGACTTTGGCCTTGTGTTCACAAGCGTTGATAAACCATCCGGTTTAACTGGATATTCTGACGCGGACTGGGGAGCTTGCCTTGACACGAGACGATCTACTTCTGGGTATTGTTTCCAATTCAATGGTGGAACCATTAGTTGGACATCAGAGAAACAAAAGTCGGTAGCACTTTCTTCCACGGAAGCAGAATATATGGCTTTGTCCAAAGCTGGAGCTGAAGCTATATGGTTAAGAGAATTATTGAAAGATCTAGGTTTCCAGCTGGAGCGACAACCATATTCTGCGACAATCAAAGTGCTATTGCACAAATTGTGAACCAGAAGAATCACGAGAGATCTAAACATATCGATATCAGATATCATTTCGTCAGGGACCTAGCCGCGAATAGCTTGGTCAAGCTGATTTATCTCCCAACCGAGGACATGATAGCTGACATCATGACAAAACCATTACCTAGAGAAAGGCATTGGTGTCATTGTCAGAATCTGGGTTTATTAGATAAAAATGAGGAAGAGAGAAGTAAGTAGGTAGCAAGTGGGAGTAGAATGCAGATTACTCCCTACTTCTTCGGGACCTGTACACTATGTCCTAGTTATTAGGACTGAGGTTACTAATAGTTAGGATGGATACTAACTGGGGATGCGACCCTTGAATAGGTGCGTCCCATGACAGGGGCATGACCCTTCTTAGAGCTGCGATCCGTCTGCTCTCTCGTGGCCTTTGGTCCTATCCGGATTGGGTACTTAAACCCAATCCGGGTCGCCTGTTATCATCCATCAATCAAGCTTCAATCCTTCCTCAATTGTGACTGATCTCTTACTCTCTATTGCATCGTATGATCTAACATGATTGAAGGCTACTAATCATTCCAGGTTAACAACGTCGTTCAGAGCATCCATCATAATACTTGAAGAGACCCCAAAACTGTCGAGAAAGAGCGATAAATGTAGAATCTGTTATTCCCTAATTCTTTCATATATCACACACATAACACTCTTGCTCAAATAAAATCGATTGAACAACATTATGAACCGACGTCATAGCGGTGGCAAGACAATTGATGGTGAGGAAACTGTTTGGCAAAACCGCTCCCATAACGCTCTTGCTAAAATAAAATCGATTGAACAACATTATGAACCGACGTCATAGTGGTTGCAAGACAATTGATGGTGAGGAAACCAGATCTGGTTTGGCAAAAACCAGATCCAGATCAACAACGACTGCTTAGTGCCCCGTCGTTGTTGATCTGGAAATCTGGTGAAATACCTTCTGCTGCTAATCCTTATATACACCAAACATGCAGTGACCGCTAACATTATGGGTTTTTTCTCCATTTGAAGGCGCGATTCACTTCGTTTCCAATACGTGATTGACTCGTTCTTACTGCAGATTGCTTTCACCAGAGCAAATGCAGATCAGAATGTTTACATATACTCTCAGGAGAAAGCATTTGTGTTTTTAGCACTATATGTGGACGACTGTATATTGGCAAGTAATTCCTTGGATCTTCTTACAAAGATCAAGAAGAAACTCAAAACGGAGTTCGATATGGTGGACTTAGAAGAGATCCATCAGTGTCTTGGTATGCAAGTAGACAGAAATCGTGAAGAAGGGTGGATTCGGATCTCCCAACCACGATATTTGGTTGAAAAGCTTGCGACGTTCAACATGGCTGACTGTAAGCCTATTGACACACCAATGGAACCCGGTTTGAAGTTAAGTGTGCTTGACTCTCCTAATTCAGTGGGAGAAAGTCAAGAGATGAAAGATATACCGTATCAAGTTGCTGTTGGAAGCTTGATGTGGGCAATGGTCTGTACTAGACCTGACATATCTTATGCTGTGAGCTCAGTAGCTCAGTTCATGTCAAATCCCGGATTGATGCACTGGAAGGCAGTTAAGAGAATTTTCAGATACCTGAAAGGGACTCTCGACTTTGGCCTTGTGTTCACAAGCGTTGATAAACCATCCGGTTTAACTGGATATTCTGACGCGGACTGGGGAGCTTGCCTTGACACGAGACGATCTACTTCTGGGTATTGTTTCCAATTCAATGGTGGAACCATTAGTTGGACATCAGAGAAACAAAAGTCGGTAGCACTTTCTTCCACGGAAGCAGAATATATGGCTTTGTCCAAAGCTGGAGCTGAAGCTATATGGTTAAGAGAATTATTGAAAGATCTAGGTTTCCAGCTGGAGCGACAACCATATTCTGCGACAATCAAAGTGCTATTGCACAAATTGTGAACCAGAAGAATCACGAGAGGAAAACTAGGAACAAATAACATACTTACTAAGCTATTGTAGAGCATAGTTGCGGGTAGCGACATCTAATAATATGTAAAATCCACGTATGTGGGCATGAGAGGAAGAGATGTGATCAACTCAAAGTTGCTCTTACCGTCTCCAACCAAGAGATAGAACATGCAGCAAACAGAAAAGGGGGTATGTACTCAGTCTGAGGTGATTAAATGTCTGCGAGGGCCACGGAATAAATGTCACTGGTACAGACAGAGCTGAACGTAAAAAACTGAGTGAGGACCATGCAAAAATAGGGAGCCGGAGTCAAGGAGTGAAAAAGGAAAGCCCGTAGCTGGTCACGGTTGACACTTAAGCAAGTAAGGACACGGGAAGGGTACATCCGTGAAGGACGGTTTAACATATTCTCCGGTAACACTTAACAATTGAAAGCTTAAACCAGAGTGGGTGTAGATTCCTATACGAAAACACCTTGAATTTTCAAAGACCCTAACGGTGTCAAGAGAAATGCCAGTCCTCATCATCGACGAATCACATAAGCCTCATCGTATATTTCGATATAGACTTCAAAGGTAAAAAACAAATATGAGCAAGGCGCAAATAGAAACAATCAAAACAAAACAATCAAAACATATTAACAACATGACACAGTCTTCAATGCAATTGTGCCTGTCATAGCCTGGACACAGCAGACACCGCATCCTACGGAGTATATCTTTCTCAACCTATGAGAGGCAAATGTAATCAGCAGATCTAGCCGAATATCAGACTGAGTAGAAGACGGGGGAAAATCTGAGAGTGAAGATACAAAAAAGGTAAAACAAAACCAGAGGGCAATTCGTCTTGCCTACTACAACTTCAAGAGCATTACCCTTTTTCGAGGCGGGTGCAAAGTGAACGTTTTTTCGTGAACAGTGGGCCATGAAGAGCGACGGACTATAGACTGTTTCACTATGTTCCACAATGCTGATTGATTTTGCTTGCTTCCACTCAAATCTTCCATAGGTACTGAGACGACTCCTACAGCTTGTCCTGCAAACAGGGGGAAAATTGAACATTAATCGACTGGAAAGAATGCAACTTGAGCTCCAATCAGACGAGCCCTATTTTGGCAAGGATAGCATGCAGCCTTTTTATATATATGGCAGCACATCAACCGACAGAAATCTTTTGAGACTTGTATAAGACGCTTTTCTTGATGTATAAAGCGCTTCTATACATTTTCCTGCTTACTACAACGTGAGTAACACATGTTTCAGAAGATATACGTCTGGCTATTCTATTATTATTATATAGATTATTCATTCACAGACGGTCAACAAAACGATAAGAAAACGAGAGTATGACGAGCGGTCAAGGGTGCAACTTCACATTAGAAGGAAGGATACGTCAACTGCAGAAGGCATTAAACGTTGACATTATGAAATATGCGTATGGATACTGGAAAGAAGAAACATGTGTGTATTATCCATGGTTGTGGAAGGAGTAATACGATCAAAACGAACATGATAAAAGATGACCTTTTAAATGATAGTCACGAAACTTCCTATGTCGAGGATAATGATATAAATAACTATGGTAGATTTTCAGTAGATTTACAGTGTGACAACTCTGTCCTACAATCGGATACAATTGATCGGCACTTGCTTGTATAATCCGCTTACACGATATACATCACAATTTTACTTGCGTTCAATTTATGCGTCAACGCGTGTCATGTTTGCTACGATAGGGTGCATTACAACCAGCAAAAAGGTGAGCACTACAAACGCTTTGAGTAGTCCTGTAAGTTCCCGATCTTGGTGTCTGTTTGACTCAAGGGGCAATAATTTCCTTGAATAATTGACAACAACATTGAATACGAAGATACTGTGCATTACCTTTGCCTCCTTTAGCTGCCATGTTCGTAACAACAACTTCCAAACTTGCAGAACCCTGTAGCATAGAGATGAGACTTATAAGCACGTAATAATATGTTGTAAGGAGCTAGACAGACTTTAATGGATCTCAACAACCACCATTACTTCCCAATCTATATCTTTGTTTGGCTGGACTGCCAAAGCCGCAATTGGTATTCTCGCTAATACACTTAACTGAAACGTCCGTACTTTGGCACCGGTTGAGGGCACTACCTGGTGAGACACCTCAAACAGAAACACCTCATTCCATTTAGCCGTAGCCAGGAGGGAGCTGGGGCCTTGCGTCAGAGATGATGGTCGGACACAACGAGATCGGGCACTCTGAGGAAGTGCTTTCTGCGCATCCGCAGATTGTCGAGTGGCAGCAACTCGTAAGGCGCATAGATATTCCTGGCCGTTGCCATCGTCATTCACAAGTAGATCCTGTACATAACAGTCATTTAATCTCCAGACAAAAATATTTTCGAACTAATAGGAAGGCTTCATCACCAATTACAGCACTTGCAGACTAGGACTCTGCTTAGCTTGCAATATGTCCTTTTAGAAAGTGCAAACCTAAAATTTGTATCTCGGAATAAAGATTTTCTCCATTAAACGGAAGATCATGAGTAAGTACGGTGTATCGCTGCAGAGATCATCTCAACGAGAAGCAAATAAAATGTCATGGGACCAAGGCAAAGAACAAATATTTGTGCGTATTTAATTACAATCTTTAGCGCCTAAAGTACATACATGTTTGTTGGTGACATCGACGCGCTTTCATGGACATATGCAACAATCTTCAAGCACAACGGTAAGGAACCGTAGGTAGCGGGAGGAAAAGGTACCTTGGCCTCAGCCACGTGCACAACAACATAGTGGCGATTCGGTCTTGTATCAGTTCCAGTCATAAACTTGTCGGGAAACTTGGGTGGTGGCAAGCGGACAAAGCTAGTCTGTTCCATAGCCAGAACAGTAACCTTTTGAAAATCATCCTTAAAAGTACGGAGATATAAGTCACTTCCAAGGCTGTTTTCGATTACCACTTTCTCCAAATCTTCTTCTTCCAGTGCAGAACTAAGTGTAGAATTATTGCTGTCTGTGTCCTCTTTTTCCTCCTGCAAATATCACAAACAGCCTTAGTACTACTATATACTATAAACATTCCCGCAATTTATTTCGTTTATAAATATAGCCATGCAAAGTGCTGAGAGGATTTAAGTCGAGTGCTACAGCTGTTAGTGATTCTGGCCATCCACTCGAATCTGGTAAGTGTAGTGAATGTTACCACTTGCATGACCATCCGCGCCTTTTCCTCGAATTCCACCTGCTTGCGCCAAGCCAGCATTGCCCCAACGAGGGAATCAATAGCTGCTGAGGTCATATTCACATTCACCACATTCGCTGCAGTAATTCGAAACCGTTTCCCAACTTTAAGGGATGCTTCGGCGGTATTATCGTAAGATTCGTACCTACAAATTTATTAACAAACTTGTTAATAAAACCTACCTTCTCTGGCAACTACTACGGATGGTAACAGCAAGTACTCTAAGCACAAACGCAACAAAAGCTTTACAAAGGCTAAACAAGTGAGGCTTATACTCACTTACATTGAGAACGGTCAAGGCATTCATTATAAACAGCTAAATAAGTACATGCTCGTGTCGACCCTTCTTAACACAAGTATCTGCAAATTTAGTAGTTTTTTTGTATATTTTTATCCATACTAATATCACATCCAAAGTATCCGTAAGTAGTACTGTCCTGTCCAATAAGAGGGCACTTGTCGATATGCAAGCAACGGTCAAAGTACGCATTTTTACCCAGAGACTTGGCCTACAAATGCTGGTAACGGAGGAAGGATAGATATTACCGACATGGATTACTTTTACAAGAAGAAACCAGAAACAACTTACTTGATTATGCCATCGAAGGGCTCAATGAGAGGTTCCCACGCCTCAAGCCTCAGATTGAATGTGGAAGCGGCAATAGCCGTAATTACAACCACACTAAAAGCCTCCGACCGACCGTGGGCCGCAAGGTTGATGTTGGTAACTGTCATGTCGATAACGGGAGTCATCTGCGGAATCAGAGAAAAATGATAGACCATAAATCATAGACCACTGAAGCAAAGCGCTTACTGACATGCGACAAGGTTACAAGGTAGCTTACTTGCCCAAATTTTAGCGTTCTTTGGTGATCACTACTTCTAAGAATTATACCGTGACTTTCACTTACCTATGCAGCGAGTCATACATCAAAGTAGAAGGTTTACCACCTGTGCGAGGTAAGATAGTGATATAGTGGAGAGATACACCATTCATAGTCGTGTCAGTATAAAAGAGGCGGTGAAAGATTTCTGGAGCGTGTTATATTAGGTGAAGTTGATTAATATTATTAAGAAGAAATATATTATGAAGAGAGAGAAAAACTAGTAGGGCAGGTGGCCACTGTAAATCTGGAGTAAAAATGCGAAGCGGCCTGAGAGGTTCTCGAGATGGCAGAAATATATTATGGGTTGTTCTCATGTCAATGTAGTGTCTGCGTGTCCTGTGCAAGATCTCAAACTGTGAGAAAAAACAGATAGAAAGAACCATTTCCCCAGAATTTGTATCCTTCATAACAAGAGCCCGTATCCTTACCAGTCCACTTAAATCGTCGTAAACTGTTGCAGAAAGACGTCCTATTTTGACTTCAGCAGTCAGATTGTCCCGTAGTTTTTTCTTTCCGATGTCGGGAATACTATATGCCATTCGAGCAGGAGGTCGTTTCAGATCCGGTCGGGCGATGAAAGTATGAGCCTGTGGATAAAGTTGAACGACATTATTCCAAAAACAATACATGTGAGAATCAATCTAAACACGTAGAAGAATTTGAATCTTTTGTACCTGATTATCGACCTTCCACAAGCTACATTGGTAGCCTCCACGATTAGCACCAATGTTCCAAACCAAATTCACATTTTTCTCAGTTGACAGGCTCCACAGAGGCTTCTTGGAAAAGTTCATCTGGGTTACACTGTCCGTTCGCACACAGCGAACGAGATCGGTTGATGGCATATTTTGAGTCTTTGTAGCTATGCATCCCATCGCAACGTAACCCGTAGGTGCAACCGGAAACCAGATGTAAACATCTTCAAAACCCTTCCCTGAGGTGTGCATTCGTTGCAAATATTTGGTAGGCCTTGCCAGAATTCCTGAATCGTCTTCTCGAAGAGCTATACCGAAGCTGGGGGGCTCCAACCTGGACATATAAGAGAAGTTCTCGAAGTAAGAGTGTATAACAAAGCTTTAAGATCAGAAAATGTCCGACTATTCCTCGACTGCCTTCAGGCTATGAGTGGCACATACCAACGAATGTACAGGGTCCAAGACTAATCAGCATAACTATCACGCCAAGTCGTGGACAGATAAATTTCGAATTTTATCAAAGAGTCAGTTACCGTACCCTTCAACAAGGCAATCCCCAATTACCGCATACCCCGGTGGTGGTATGGATCTCCATATTGAGACGATTCGCCTGGTTTCTGAGCCTTTGTCCCACCAGATGCGTTCGAACTGCGACGTGGGAATACAATTTCTGTTTGTCTTCGAAGGAGAATCTGGAATAGTGTCCAAGCGAGAGGAGCTTGGTCTCTTCTCAAGTCGTCGCCTGTTGCTAGAATCCTGCTGGGCTGCAGGTTCATTGCTCGATTTCTCGTCTTCATTCCCACTGCTGTCTAGTCCATAACGGAGTACTTCTCGTAGGTCACATAAGAAAGATTTGGGAGGAGGTTCTACGGATGAATGGGCGTAAAACGATCCCACAACGTTTTCCACTCGCCAAAAGCTGCAGCCACTTTTTTGCTCCTCCCTGATCACATATTCAACCAATCCAATAAACGAGAGAGAAGGCACGAGGACGATGACTAACCAGAAAATACTGTAGGCAAGGGGTTTCAACGGCTAGATCCTGTGACTATTTCAGATGCTCCAAGAGATGTCCCACTTTACCTGGTGCCTGGCGGAATATAGTAGATGCAATCACTGATGGAACCTGAAGTCAGAAGGTCAGAACGAATGCAATGGACAACACTCAGAAGTGGTGGAGACGTTCCTCTCTCAACAACACAGCCCACAGCAGAGTAGCCAGGGGGTGCAATGGGCAACCATATGCTCCAGGTTTCGTTATTTTCCGCACTTAACTCCTCCTGGGGAGGTCTCACATCCGGCCGCCCTTGCCCAACTTCACAAAGAGTAGACCACAAAAGCTTAAAGTCCACAGGCTTTTTCACATGTCGATAAGACTTGCATACTGCCATAACAGCTTGCGAAGGAGGTGCAGTCCTGTAACATAAATCCAACCCTTTGAATTCAGTACCCAAGTTCACTCTAAGACAAACTACACAATCCACCCTTCACCAGGTCCAGATAAATATCAATCGAGAGTAGGTAAAGAACACGATCCGTTACCATATGACATTATTGTATAAAAATGTGCGTAGATAAGAAAGGATAGGGCTGTGAGAGAGGATAACTCCATTGCCCCGCATGCTTTATACGAGAAGTGCGCCTTACCCTGAAGCTGCACAATCACTCAAAATGGCATAGCCAGGTGGTGCTCTAGGTCTCCAAATTGTAACTTTCTGCGAAGCATTGATTCCTGCATATTTGAATCAATTTAGTTGAATATCTAAGACTGTTTACATGATGAATCTAATGGAATGAAGAAAGTCAAAATGATGTATCTAATCGAAGCCTAGAAATCTACAATCCGGCTAGCAAGCGCTGGTCTTTCCTCAAAGAAGACAATCCGAACCTGAATTGGTGACCAATATACGGTCAAAGTGGGTACAGGGCAAAACCGGACGAGCATCTCCAAAGTAAAATGTTGACGCAGCATCTTGTTGTATACGAAGGACGAGGCTGATGACATTGTAAGAGAGACGCATAGATATGTCACTGGAAACAACAAGCATGGACGTCTTGTCTTGTACACAAGAGTACTCCCCAGTCACATCTAGAGGATCAACAACCACAATGCCTGAGCCTCCTTCTATCGTGAGGCTCTTCACATTACCCTTGATCCATCGATCTTTTCCTTTTGAAGCATACCTGTAAACCGACATACACACTTAGAACAAAGTTTACGATGTGAAACATCCATCTTAACACTTCAAAACTGACGTATCCACCCCTGGTACGTTAAGCTGTCTCTGAAAATATGCACCATCGCAACCACATTAGACCTGGGGATTGAATTTTTAGGATCTTCTGTGAAGAATGAATAGGTTATACTCTCTCTGGTCATCTGTTTATTCAGAATGGTTAGTTCACTTATATTACTTCAGTCACGATATACACTTTACATCCTTATATCGAAGTTGACAGAAGCCTGAACAGTTTTGATGCAGTGTTGGTCTGTTCTCTCATTTCCAGCAACACTTCACTGCTGCCTAGACTTAAGACGAGGCACAATGTTGCAACTTTGTCTAAGCAGAGATGCAGGCCAAATTATCGGAGTGCTACAGTATGTTACAATCTACTTCCTTAGAAGGTATATAGTGAGTAAGGTAAACTCCTTCAGTTACAAGGTGAGCTTGTAAACCCACCTTCAACGACTCACGTTCTGTTTAGGATACAGTACTGTCTTCTAAAGACAATACAGTGACTCTCCAGGGCATCGGTCAGTAAATTCGAACCTTGTGCCGGTCCGTTTAGTATGTGCCTTAACTTAAAATATACTATGACGAATGTGTATGTAAATTCTTACAAAGTCGTCCTGAGGAATTTTTTATGCTTTCAAAAAAACATCAAGCATGTTCTCTCGCTTCCGACCCACTGCATGACCTCATTAAGCTGTACATGATTTTACGACCACCCACTTACATAAGATTGAAGCTCAATTTCGCCCTTAGAAGTCTCTCTCGTTGTGCCAGGCTACCAGACGGCCATTTGGTACTGTCGTAGAAAGTAAGCTCTGGTGATACAGCCTGTTAACACAAAAGATCCATCGCTTTACCACGTCAAAGAACTTACCTCATATTCTATCAAAAATCTGTGAGAAATCATTTTCCTCATGATTCATTTCTCTGAAGTAAAAGACTCTACCCGAGGATATTAAAAAACATTCACGGAGGGACGACGCCCACACGCACCACATGAATCGTTTTGTTACAAACCAAACAGCGTACAAGATATTGTAGACCTCGATACCAGGTATCCCCAATGTTAAACATTACAGGAGGGCAAAATTGCAGGCATATAAGCTTTTAGACTTTTTTCTCACCTGTACATCCAGAACGAAGTTGTTGTCCTCCGAGGAGTCACTCTGACCACTTGATATTCTCAGAGCCTTACCCCTGCCGCCAGCTTTTTGACTCGAGAATATATCCACACTGTCTTCTGAACCTTCCAGAACGACGCCATCTTCGTGCGCAGCACTGTACGAACTGTCACTGCTGAGGTGTATGCATTTGCTTAACCATAGTCCATTCTGCAATTGACAGATGTTTCTTTCAATACACTTAAGTCAACTGGGTATTGTCTTTTAATACACTTACGAAACTGGTGACAGGGTACCTGGGTTGACAGGGTAGCAAGGATGAAGTGATGGAAAAGCTGGATAGTTGTCGCTTGTCATTTCAAGGCCTCATGAGACTCATGCTACTACATCAGTTTTGGATCTGTTATAAGCAACTCAGGTACTTGAATCGAAGGTACAACCCACCTTGATGCGAATATTTTTGAAGCGCAAGTGTTTAAACCGACCGACGAAAATTATTGGTTCCAAATCCACCTTTGGATAGCGGCTGATGTCTTCTGTAATGTCTAAAAAAAGAGTTTTTCCACCTCCATCGTACACAAATTCATCAACGTCATGGGCATCAGCCACAAGCTGCCTCTCCGCAGACAAAACAACAGTATCTTCCACCTGCGTGTATATACTGTCGTTGAGTCTGATATAATCGTGAAGCGTGACAGGATCATTACTGACATCCATAGCTTCATCCCTTCCGGTGATAGAAGCGAGAGATGGTACAAAAAACTCCCCCACGGCCAACAAAAAGTCGACAACAACAAGCAGTCTTGGACGTTGTACGCGGATAACAACTGTTGATGAATCGCGCTTATATCTCATATCCATTACAAGCATCGTCAACTCAGAATTTGCACTGCTCTCGGACGGCATACCACGAGAGTTGTCTCCGCGATTATTAATCATGCTGACACCTGAACTCGAGACCGAATCCACATCCGACATTGAACCTAGCATCAAGCGCATTTCCGGCTTGGTATCAGCTCGAAGATCTACTACTGACAATTTTGGCACGGTTACGTATATGTCCATCTCTTGTGCTGTTGTTGTGCAGTAATTAAGCCAAAACTTTTGGATCTGCAATCAGGACAGAACCAGTTAATAAAGTTCAAGAAAAAAGAAAACCAATATACATCATAGAGTTGATACAGATCAGTTTAATATTCGAACTCCTAAATATCTCGGAACATATCTTCATTTAAACTTTAGCCATGCCTTCTTTCAAGACTAAAATCTCAAAAGACAATTCCAACTTCGCATCTATCTACAAGGGCTGAATGTATCTCATTACAAGAAGTGTGAAGAAGACCAAAACTTAAACCTTCTTATAATTTAGAGTCTATTGGTGATTAAATCAAGAAATTCTTCACAGTCAGCACAAAGAGGAACGAATATCTTCCTGAGTCAAGTGGCAGAAACTTCTAACAGGGTGTACCTCCAATCGCGCCAGAGGAAACTCTCTCTCGACACCGTTGTAAAGTTCCAACTCCACATGTCTAATATCAATATTAACCCTTGTTTTGGTCCAGGTCAACACTGGTTGGCCATCAGTATTAGATGCGTGAACTGTTAGATGCTCGTCTGTCTCTTGAGCTGGCTCAAGATTCATGAACTCTTGATTCCCAACCTCGCTAGCTCCAATATCCTCCCGGAAAGTGGGTGGGAGATTGGGCTGTTCCGACACATTTGTTGAAGCGCAATCAATTATTACGAGATACTCCTTGTCAGACATGACTCCGCACAGCATGTCTACCTGCTTGACGGAAAGTAGAACAAAGTCAAGGAACTCATGAAGTTCAGTTGATGACACGACCAAGAGCTTCTGACAAGAATAACTCACCTCACCTCAAACGCTCAAGGTTAATAGTCCTACACAAACTGGCTGTAAACTCTTGAAATAGTGGAGGAATCCCAAAATACATCAGCCTATTTCAGAATCTACCATTGAATCTTCTACGCGCTTATTACGAGACAAGCATGACAGTCCACGTACTTGTATATCAACTTGCATCTCTGGCACCTTCTTGAACAGGTCTCGAAGAGGTCTCTTCACGGTTATATGAATTCCAGAAGCCTCCTCAATCATGGGCTTGCCAGGCTCACCATCGATGCCAACAACCATATTGATATCTGTTATCTGAATACGATGATGAGGCAAGTAGTTATATTTCCAGGTAATGAACGACAGAACCAGTAGCAAACAAGGCTTTTAAAGTCTACTGAAAATTCGTTAAGCAACCATACCTCGGCGGAGAGGACATCCATGTGAACAGCAGACGGATCGCTCTTGACGCCACCATGCCAATGGAAGGTATTGAAGACCTCCAAATGACCAAGATCCATGTGCATGAACCTAGTAAGCAGAAGCTTGAAACAAGTCAGTTGCCGATAAGAACTCTATCAATGCTGTCAAAATCTCAAAGAACACCTGATAGAGAGTTCGTAGCATTGTACTTGACGAAGCATCTCCCTGGGCTTCCCAAAAAGACAACAGTGCATGGATTCTAGGTACTCACTCTCGACTCTCAGAGTTCCGAGGCATGATAATGATTGGCGTGTCTAGAGAGACATTCAGCTTCAGAGCAGGTCCACCTTCAATATCCGATTGCTGTATAAGCTTTTCGATTCCTCCAACCTTATCCACGACAGTGATAACCTGCTGCACTTGTGGGGTGGCTAGTGCATAGAAGTAGGCTGTTATCTGGAAAAGATGCGACTCTCGAGAATGTTGGCAAACACTTAAAAGCAGAAAATAAACTGAACTCTACATCAACACACACACACAAGATTAACATGAACTACATGAATCTACCAGTGGCATGTACGTGATGTGCGACATCTTCAATACTTGGAAAAGAAATTGCATCTCTAACTAGTTCTTCAATTATTCACATAGTTAAAAGTATACAGAATGTTACCTCTTGAATGAACCTGTAAAGGAATACTATCCGCACAGCTGACAGTTTCCCCGTTAAGCTGTAGTCATGCCCTTGAAAATCATCATCATCCTTGTTGAAAGATTGAAACTCCAACTGTATGACACGGTAAAACACATCAAATGTTACTAAAATCACCAGAATATAACAAAACAAGTCCTCAATCTGCCCCCCTTGTGATTTCGGCTGTCTGTGGCTCCAATATTATGGTCAGGCCACTGCAGACTAAAGATAAACAGCATACATAGAAGTGAGGACGGTGAAGTTAGAACACGATACCTCAACAAGAGACCCACAACCAGGGTCCCGAATATCGCATAGCCAACCCCATCGATGATCAGGACCCAGAAGTGTATCACAAACCCGCAAATTTCCCAGGGTGCTGGATATCGTGAATGAACCTGGATAAACCTATCAAAGCAACAGGAACAACATAAGGCGTGTATTTCACAAGAATAAAGACAATATTTGCAAACCTTCACCTATACCAACTGCGGCTGCCTTACGCCATCTCAAGACACAAATAGAGTCTTATCTGAAAAGTTACACTCAGGGACTATACGGGTCACTCGAGCACTCATAACGCTAGCAAATTTTTGACGACCTACAACATCCCAACGCACTGCGATGGAACTTACTCTCAAATCCATCATGAACTTCTCTTGGGCCAGCATCGCCAACTGCGAACCATCTTCCTTGTTCAAATAGATACGTGCACTCTCCATGTCCATACGAAGACGAAAGACAACCCTTGACTTCCCGCGACCAAGCAAGCCTTTCACAATATGTCTCTCAGATGTTTCCAAAGTTTCAATAGATAACGCCTCGCCTGAGGAAACAGAAGGAAGACCACCGCTACTTTTCGAGGCTGCAGAATCCATATCCATCACCTCACTCAATTCTGATCCAAAATCGATAATTGCTACCACAGTTGGCCGGTTGCAGAAAAAATCGAGAGTTGCCATGCGTATGTTCATCTGAGTATCAAGTAAACGGGCACATCAACTAAGCACTCGAAGGTACGACATTGTGAACTCATTTCAGAAGAAAAGACAACTGACGTCACTTCCAGAAAATACCAAAAAATCATCAAATAACCACCTGAGTGTCTGTGCCATCATAGTCAACAGATTCCTTGTGTCGAATTACAAGCCTCAGGTTCACGAAATCAGAAACCTCAACATCTTCATGTTCATTGAATATCTCATCCAGAAGTTGTTCTGCCCTGATGGCACTCAAATGATCTAGATCCCAATGGGGTAGTGCTTTCTCACTTGACGATGCCTCCAGCTTTGTAGATGATGCATGACGAAAGGAACTAGAGGGACTCTGAGCTGCAGAGACACTTGAATGAGGACTCCCAAAATCTGGTAATGCGTCATCAAAATCATCATCATCATCATCTATGGCCACATTCAGGGGCGGCATATCCTCCCGACTCCAGGAACCCTCATTCTCAACTGGATCTAGCATAAAATGCGTGTTACTTGTAGAGATCACAGAACGGGCAATATAACGGCATGATGGACCAACGTGTCCTTGAAGTTCGTCCTCAATTTTAAGAGAGTGCAATTTCACTCCTATAAGCATGTCATACTGCCGTTGTAATAGGTCGACCTGCGACAAAAAACCAAAGACAATGAGAGTTGTCACGTGCTATACTTTCTCAACGTCCGAACAGGCACGGCATTCTGTTGACATAAGATACAACTTAAGTCTAAAATCTCTTCATTTGACTGTGATTACTGTTGCTGCTATTGACAACATCAGTATGTAAGCTCTAAGGACTTCAGAAAAGACACGACTTGAAGTCTTGAAGTATGATATTTCGGTGGAGGTAACTTCCAACACAAGTTGTACAGATACGTACAAGACCTCATAACGTAAACAGAAAGACGTTAACTCGCGGCTAATTACCTTGCCCCCGGTACCTTGCATTTGCAGAATGAGAGTTTCTTCACCACTTGACTGCCTCCCAGCAAGAGCTGGCCGGTTACTCTTCAAGAGAAGAAATACAAAGAGGGCAAAGAAAACTTCAGCGAGAAGAAATAAAAGAAGTTCATAAGCTACTCAAAACAGAAAACTTTACGACACGTTTCCCATTGTAAGATAATGAAGCCGTGAAGAGGCAACATACGACTTCGGAAGCATAACAAAGTCAAGGTCCTCGAAGTTTGAGCAAATACCGATCCACAAATAGAGAGTTGAAATTCATCCAAGGAACCCATGACTAGCAAGTGGGGCTGTTTGTGAAGATCCACTGAGTCGATCTCATTATCATCAGAATCATTTTCTGCGAATTCTGCTGGAAGTGAAAGAGATACCGGTACCTGCATTTAAAGAAAATTCATCTCAGCGACCATGCAATGTGAAGCCTTCCCCAAAAAAACGAAATTAAGGGGGCGAGATAGCAACTCACAGATGCCTTATAAGTAGCCCGCGTGAGATTTTTAAGCCAAGCCGCCTGAACTTCCCTCGCCCTAAGTTGTAAGACGACTGCATGTGAGGACTCGATACCCTACAGTTTGAGTCAAACATTATATTCTGGATGAGTCAACAAGTTCCGAATGCAAACAATGAAAGGTTTTTCTAAGGAGGAACCAAAACCAAAAGAAAAATCTCGACATGTCAACAGCAAATACTCGAGCCTCTTCTTCATTCATGCTAAATATGACAATGAAAAGTAACTTCATCACCATTTTCACTAAATGAAAAAACGTTGTATCTTGGATCTAGTACAGTGCATAGGACGTGTGACCGAAAGCTTCAAACGAGCAGATCTTGAGCAGCACCTCCCTTCACTCAAATAACTATCCGTTCCAGGAAGACAGACATGGACGTGCAAACTAAAACGGGCGTTTTGTGTGACAGCCAGTAACTGAGTTACCTCATACACTTTGTCTCTTATGATCGATAAAATGATCTCTCACGACATACGATACATCAAAGCACGAACTAGAAAGAATACTTTGTAGTGATAATGGTGAGCAAAGGCAAGCGCATGCCTTGAAAGTCTCTTTCAGAGTAAAAAGTAGAAGTCTTTGCTCAGTAAACAATGAGGTAGTTCATATATCAAGTATACCTTCTGCACATCAACTCCTCGATGAAAAATACCGACAACATTCTCAGAACCACCAATACTTGACGGCGGAACTTCCAGTGCTTGTTTGCCGACTACGCTGCAATTTGCACATATTATGAAAATTGCAAGTGTAAGAGAGTGTAACTGGACAAATTGACAGCAGTTTTAAGGTTCATAATGTTCCAAATCTAAACTTCAATAAGTCATGCAGACGCAATCATGATTGGCATATCTTGATTGCACCTGACAGATCCAAGAACTTTTGTGTCTTCTGCGAGAATCTAGATTACAAATTCGAGAATTGTAGAGAGGACAGTAATTTGTTGTGACTGTCGTGTGCACTGTTCCATTTTATGTGAGAAAAAAAACAGAATTGATGCAAGAAGGGAAATGCTTGTGAAGTAACCCTGACAGCCCCGTTGAGAATGAAAACAACCGATTCATGAGGAAATCTGGAATGTGCTCCTAGATCTTCGGAGCAGCTTACACATTTGGGTCCTAAATTACGACTGTCCTCAATTACGACTGTCCTCAATTACGACTGAAGTTATTGAAAAACTGCAAAACAAATTACAAAAAACTGTATGGTTTAAATTCTGGCAAAACTTTCGATGATGAAAGATGTGTGTACCTTGAGCATCGTTGGTAAGTTTGAGCATTTTCTGATTCCAAAATGTACAAGTATGAACCTGATAACACTGCCCAGCAAGGCTGCCATTCTGCAACAGTGTTTCCTATGCCCTGCAAACACTCCACAGAAGTGCAAACCTGAGTTACAACCATGTACGAGTGAAGGCCCAGAGAGGGAATCGAATACAATCTAGCTGCCTAAGATACTTCAAAACTTGCAGATATATACATCCCAAGGTTGTTTGAAGAAAGTACCCCCCAAAGGAGAACCCTCGCTTCTCCAGAAAAATCTGCCGAATGCCAAGCTGTTACGACCTCTGTCTTGGCTAATCCTTCAGATCCTTCCACAGCTTGATCAGCACCTCCAAGCGCCTTCAGCAGGAGCAGCATTCTTCGGTATCGACCCGGAGAAAAATGAAGACCAAGATGTGGAACTCTTATTTGAAGGCGGGTTGATGGAAAGCTAGGATGTTGAACTTGTATCTGACATGTATTTATGGGTATAAAAGTTAGTCATATCCATACGTAATCATCAACAAGAGGAACTGAGCTGCAGTTCAAAACGTAAGAGATTCAACTGACCTGGTCCAGTACAACCGACATGCCACAACGATCAAGAACAGGAAGGATGAGTCTTCCCGGCATGACGGGAGAATCGACACTTTTAGAAGATTTAAGTTCTTGAATTGTGGGTGCTGGACTGTTCGCTGGAGGCAACTCTGACCAGTCAAAAGCGCCGTCAACCAAGAAAGCAGAAATGTCACTACCAGAGATGTAGAAACGAGAGTAAAGGCCTGTCTTCTCGATGTCGTGTTCCTCTTCCTGTTTCAGAAGCTATTTTGATCAGCTCCATATGATAAGAAACAACACGTATTGATTGATTAAATAGCGATAAGCGAAGTATTCGAAGTTCTGACAGCAATTACCAGAGCTGTTTCTAACGTGAAATGACCCAAATCCAGAAGGAGCTGAGTGCCCTCTCCACCACTTTCTAGAGCCTCTGCTGGAATTGCAATCTTCGGAGCGTCCAAATCCAAATGAACATGGAACCTGCATCACACTCCACCCTGGGCATTAACAGCTTGTCCCTCTAGACATGCAAATCACATTCACTACATAACTTGTTTGCCCTGTACAAACTCTATACTTTTACTCTCATAGCCTGAAGACCAAAATTGTATATACACAAGACTGCACAAAATATGTAGCTCAACGCCCTCCACAAGAAAACAGTATGGATGGATCATAACCTTCTTCGTTCCTCGAGCACAAGCTGCAGCTGCTCCTGTGCTCTTCGAGTTACTTCCTCTAATTTACTCTGCGGTAAGTAACATAGGCATAACGGAGGGTTCAGTGACAATTCGAGGTAAAGTTCTCCAAAGGAATAAAGCGAGTCGAACACTCATTTGTTTTCACCGACTTGTACGAAATGGAAGGCAAGCATTCTTAGGTCGTCAAAGTCAGCAAAATTTGAGTTGCCTAACGGTTCAACTTCTTCTTACATGATAATCTGACTAGGTGACTTGATAACTTCGCAATCATGTAGCTCGGTTAAATTCCTGATTTTTGATAAATTTGAGCATAAGTACCTGCAAGACTGCGGCAGTTTCCAAGGCTACACCGGGACTCAATTCTTGACTGCTCTTGAGGAACTGAAGAAACCTGTCGAAGCTAGTCCTCCAAATCTGTGTAAACGTCGAACAAAAAACGTGGTTTACTTGCTGCTCACAACTTCTTCTCATGAATACTGTACTTAAGAGTACTGATGTAGAGAAGATACGAAACTTCTGCTTCAATCAAGTTACGTAATAAGCTGAGGTTTTAGAGTACAGGTTGTTCAAAGTCTTCTTAAACATATGTCGGGATCCAAACTTCATAACTCCCTTGACTGTCCGTCGTGACAACATGATCTTCAGATAGTTTACATTAATGATCACCCATGCGGTTCTGACTCGAAAATAATAAAGTATGCTCCTATTTCCGGCACATCTCGGAACTTGATTAGCATCTCTAAACGTCAGCTTGTATCTTGTATTTACAATGAATAAGAAATGTTGGCAGTTGAACCCAAAAATACAGACATAGAGACCAAAAACAGACATAGATATCATGTAGAGTCATTAGACTTATAACTACAAAATGAGGAGTTGCATGAGTACACTAGACGTCAAGATCAATTCTAGTATTCCATCAGCACAGACAATCAGCAGATTGAGAAACCCTTTTGAACGAGAGTTCGCAAGTGTATTCTGAGACTCGATTGTATTATTAGGAGGTGACACAGGCAAGGAGGCTCACTCAAATTATTTCTAAACGGAGGAGATTTTAAGGGACCAGAAATGATCATTCCAATATCAGTTACTATGAGATTCGACTCACTCATGGCTTTCTCATTGAACCAATAAGGAAATGAAGTTTACAGATACCATTGTTAACTGCCTGCATTTGAAACTGAAAGCGGAGAGGGTTAAAAATGCAGCCAATGTTACCGTGACATGACAAGGTGACATTGCAGCAGACAACTTCCAGTCCAGTGGTTCCTCCATTGGACAGTAGACAAAGGTCGTTGTCAAAGCATGGTCTCTTCCTTCACGACTGACACTCTGCCAAAAAGCAACGATTCTGAGCAGCAAAGTAGGATGTTGTCCTTACCTTGAAATCCAAGAACTGAGAATGAAAAGAACTAGCATAATACTTTGAGGCATTAACCACGGTACTTGAAGAGCTCATAACGTGAACAAAGAACGCTCAATTGAGAAATAGGCGTTCTACAACATATTCAAAATGCGATAAGATGGCAAGATGTGATAATCCCAGACAGCATGAAGTTCAACTGAGATGCCCTGAATTTTTCTTCGCACTAAATCCATGCATGAGACTGTTAGTAGAAGTTGCACCTCAATAAGACGGCCTTCAGGTGCGGAGAGTCCGTAAAATTTAAGCTTTACATCACACTTCTCAGTCTTTGGGTAGCGCATCAAAGACACTTGCAAGGTTTCAAAAGTGCCACAGAGTATTTCTCTTTCCTCCTTGTCAAGAAGGGAAGCTGCACTCCGTTTAATTGAAACCTCTAGCGCTGTTTGCAGCATATTCGGTGCTTCTGGATCTGAAAGGGTGGACAAGTCTTCGTCTGGTCTGTAGCTCAACAAATCGTTGATTTTGTTCCATTCCTCCTTCGTTAACTGTCCGGGCACGGTAGACTCAGCTTCTCCTTTAACGCTTGCACTAGCATTAGAGCGGTTTCCATCAACGCCTCCCCTGAACAACCACAGTTGACACCCTCATTCCGTGCGGATGTCTCTTGGATTAAAAAAAGGAATCTGCAACTCCCAAGCAAAACTATTATCTAAAGTTTGGTAGTTTCTCTGTACATACCATCCGAATGACCACCAAGAACTTTTTCTGACGCGCTCTCGTTCCACTGCGGCTTCGTTCGATTTTGCACTCTCAACCTTTGCATGTGCTAACAATCTGTCGCTCCATCATGAAACAATGACTGTCAAATTGGCTGCTGCTCCCCCATGTATTACGGGGATGGCAAACGAAGGACACCGTACAAATCGTGAACAACTTCACTTTCTACTCCATTAGAGATTTCATTACACTCTAGAGCATCATCTGAACAAGTTTGTCCAATCTCACATTGACTAGTTCGTCAAGGCCAAACTGCTCTCACCTCCAAAGTAGAACAACTTCAGCATCGAGCTCTTTATCCATATCCCTAATCTCCTGATTGTCCACCTTTGGACTTTGCTGCAAATAGGCAGCATACAGGCGCACATATTTTCTTCGCCTCTCACACACATCAACGACTTTCGCCCAAGAAAGACGGTACCTGCCAAACCAAGACAATAGTCGTCAGCCGTTTAAACAGACCATATAGCCCTTAGATGAGATGACAAGTGAAATGGATGGGACATTACACAATTGTGAGATTCCGATTGAATGCTTGAATTCCTATGGAACTATATAGTATACTCAGATGCCTCCTATGCCGGTGTGAAAAGCACACTATGCAATTATTGCCTACTGTGCCCGACTGCTCAGCTTCACACGTCTAGATCAACCGAAACTACCACACTAAATTACGAAATTCAAAAAGCACCTCTACACACAATTTTCACATGTTCTGTGTCATTCCGGTTCAAGAACACTTTGAAATGCGGGATGCTAGAACAAACCACATCTTGGATTGCTGCTGCAACACTGCCTGGCATGCATAAAGCCACCAGGCATGTGGATCATCAGAAACTGACAACTGCGGTCGCAAATGGGAATACTGCATCCGTGTACGATATCTTGACACACCTTCCAACAACTTCATTCCATCACAATACTGGGCCTGCTCGGAAATTGAAGATGTGTTAATATCATTACTAGGAAGTACACAGAGTTAGACCAAAGTTTCAGAGAGTGAATACACTGACATAAACAAGCTGCCGTTCACCGACTGTCATCATACATAAAACTCCTCTCCGTACTGCTTTCATTGTCTTTCACTTATAACAGCCATGAAATGAGGGTTGTCGTACAAGAACCTGTCCGCATCCGTGTCTCGTGTAAGTTAACAAAATTTCATAATAATTGCAGATTTACCTCTGAAACGGTAGCAGACACTTCGTCCAGTACAAGGGAGGCCTTTTGAAATGGAATATGGGGTTCTCTATTTTCCCGCTTTCCCCGCCGATGATATCTCATGATCCCATCGACAGGATGAAGCAAAAATCTTCGACCGGAAGCCCACTTGGAAGATTTCGCGTCGGGAGGAACATCGGAAGAGATTCCTGCCTCAAAGATCTACATACCAAATTTGAAACACTTTAGAATCTGCACGGTGGACAGAGACACGCTGGATGACAAGCTCTGTATTCTCCCATAATCCGGTTGGGTTTCTGGTGGACTTCGAGGTCATTTATTGATTTATCCTTTTACAATTCCTCTATATGTCTAAGCAGCTACGGCTCTATCAACTTCCTCTCGTAAGAACGGCACAAGGTTTCATATCTCTGATTACTCTTAAGGCGTCAAACTCATGACTGAATGAATTCTGAACAACTGAAGCCTCAAAAACCTCACTTTTTAACAGATAATCCAACCCGAATCGTGTATACCACACACTTTAATTCGTTACCCTAGCTTCTGGGCCAGCATGAACTTGAGGTACAATACCTCACTCCACTCCTTCGGTGTAAGATCTTCCCATTCTTTAGTTGGTTTCCAGGGGCTACTATTTGAATCGTGGTAGACGGCAAGCCGTTGAAGCTCCAGTTTCTGTGAGATCAATGAACAAGAAATAAATCGAACCGACAGATCAGCTAAACCTGGTCAAAAGCCAAAATAGAAGAAACATATGTTGGGTAACCCTGCATTATGGTTCCAATTGCCAATTGCCAATTGAGCCAACCATACTTTCTTCCAATTCAAAAGAATGGAGAAATTAAAGATAGCTTCTTCCAAAAGGTTCCGTGTTCTAAACTATAATGTAAAGCAACAAAATGGTTAAAGGTATACAACCACGATCTGATGAGAAGTCATCCAGCATGTATTTAAGGGTGGTTTGCGAACATTTAAAAGTGATTTGCGAATAAATTGAGTGTAAGAGCTCTCCATGATGATGGAGAGCTCAAAATACTATAACTTAGTATGCTCATCTCAGCAATAAGCTTTACCTATGTAGTTAAAAAAGTAAACTCATTGACTAATAAAACTAACCTTACGAAGCCTTTCCAAGGCTCCACTCGCAACAAAAGTTTCATTTCCAGTTTCATCAACTGTAACTGCTGCGAGTTTAGCCAACGTGACTCCAGAGCAGAATGGATGACCTTGATTGCTGCGGGTACAAAACTGAAAAGGTTACTGAAAGTGAAGCAACTCTCTCCTTCTATGGAAAAAAATACAGTAAAGGACGAACGTTCTGAACAGGACATAAATTTAGGTGACAATCTCGCCGTGTCCAGCATAATTCAGGTCTGTTCTACGAGGGTACTATATGAAAACTCTTCTCTTTGTCAGCCAAGTAAATGGAAGATCTGCTACAAAAATGTGACAGTCTAAAAGAGTCGTTGAGACAGTCCCAAAACAAGATTAAGGGTTAGAAATCAAATGCAAGTCTATCTGTGTCGTATGAGGGTTTTCAAAGCATATATATGTTCATGTAATTCTGAAGAATTTTCTCCAAATTCTGGTAGGGTGAATGTTAACTCCCGGCTGAAAATGTCAAGTATAAAAGAAAACTCTGGCCACTCAGACAAAGCCAAATATTGTCGACAGATTGAAATTATTGCTCCTAAGGAAATAGAGTATACCTGACAGTGTCTTCATAACGTATATGCAAATTTGTTATCGATATTTTAAGGTTACCGACTATTGTTGCAATCAAAGATCCCAACCAAGTGCTCGTTTCTGGTGCCTACAAAAGAAGACACAGAGAGTACTCAGTCCTCTCCATCAGCATGTCCAGTCTGCGTGATATAGGAGCTCCAGAAATATGCCTGAGATGATGATAAAGATAGTTCACCCAAGCTAAAGCTTCATTCATAGCTTCAACCACATTGTAAACCAGAAGCAAGACTACTGTAGAGATCAAATTTCATCTCACTGGCTCAGTCCATACATACTCTTGGACTGAGATGCCAACATCGCTTAAAACAAATTTGGCAGCAGCCATTAGTTTCATAAACCATATGGTATGCAGTTATCCCCAGCTATAGCAGTCTTGCAAGAACGCATATAAGATAAACTCCGACGACAAACTCCAGAGAGGAAATTGAGAATATGTGGGTATACGAAGTGTCGATACAGCGCACATTACGTGCAATATGCAGACAACGAACAGACAGGAAACGGTGAAAGTAAAATGAGAAGAGTATGTCAAGGTCTCTACCTTGACATACTTGGGAAGATGAATAGGGAAGAGTGTACGCATGACAGAAATTGTTGACAGTGGTAAAAATATGTGACTGACAGATAAGATACATATTAAATTCAAAGACTACTTTGAGACTCGTGTGTATCTTTAAAAGATCACCCGAGAGACAAAAGTATTCGCAAAGATATGGAATGAATGCAAATTTGGTCAATTTGGTCAATTTGGTCAAATGACCAGATAATCTGAGTATTGCATATATCGTCATAGTGAAGAAGCACTCAATTTTGAGGTTGTACAACCTACATCTTCAGGTGTGGCGATTTTCTTGTCTTTAGCTTCAAGATATGCCAGCTCCTTTTCCTGTAGTAAAAAAAAGACATTTACATGAACCAAGCAGTTAAGTTCTAGTCGTCTATATATTGCATGATGAGCCTATTACTGTATCAAATGATCGGAGCTGTGTGTCAAATATTACTGATGAGCAGAACAGCTTCCTATCTAGTAAGGATTGCTTACTCAGCCAGAGACCTGCCTCTTGTAGCACAAAACAAACATCTCCAAGAGGATATTCTTATCAAGATGTTAAAATACCTCAATTCGACGCCTCTTCGACTCAAGCCAGCTTTCTTTGTCTTCCCTCTGAGCGAACAACCCACCGTTAGCATATGTCGACTATGATGCACTTAGAATGCAGACAAACGGGAAGTCCTTTCAATCTGGAAACTGGAAACGGTTGACACATCTGAAGAATCCTGCAACAAACTGAGAGGAGCTCCAACAACGATCCGTAACCCCTCTTTGAGACATAGATTTACATGAGAGCCCTGTTTGATGGAAAGCTTGTGTTCACCTTCGAGGAGCTTTCATCCTGCAGTGGCTCCGCAAGCACAAAAATTCGATCTAGAAGAACGATAACAGGCTCTTTGCCAAGCCGATTCCATGGTACCTGCAAGAATCGATATTTTACTAGAGATACAAAGGACTAGATATTTGCGATTAGTGACCAAGACACTGTTAGGTTTCAGAGAACAACTTTGAATAATGGACAGCTTCCGAATTTCTAAAATGTAAACGGAACATTTTTTGAGGGTACAAGGATGTAAGTGCGCAGAATGTAAGTACCAACCTTGAGCGTTACAGAACCTAAAAAGCCAGCTTTTACAGTGATAGGAAGTTTCAAAGCATTCAGTGCTTCTGCCTTCAACTGCAGATCCTTGAGAACAACATCGCCTGATGGAATCGAAACAAAAAAAAAATCAAGAAACGTACACATATCGAAGATAGAAGGTGGCGTCGGCGTCTCATGCAAACAACTTGTAGAGAGAACATCGTGTACGTTAAGTTGTAATGCAGTAGGAAACAAAAACAGGAAAATTAGTCTCCTGATTATTTATTTTGTCATCCAAGAAGGCCAAGTCCAAGACGAAAGAACTACCCCGTACTTCAAGGACCTGGCCTGAACTCGCATATTCCTACTGATACTGAGCATGTTCTCGATAACAAAGGTTCGTGTGCAATATAAGATACGCTGTCATGCGTGGAAGATCCAACCTTTCCACACACTGATTTTGAGGGCTTCCACGGAAAGGCCGCGTACATATTCACCCAGATATCGGCGCAGAAGATGTAGGACCTGTGATCAACCAAAAAACAGGGGGAGACTGTTATGTTTGGCGGCCGAGCATAATATTCGAAGTTAGTACAATTCCTTATTTCCTTAGGTAAGACCTGAAGCTAGAAACACTGAGTCACTGAACATAATCTTACTACTTATCAACAGCATGCTAACTGTACTCAATCAAAGGAATGTTCCTTTCAGTCGAGATCTGTATCCTAAATCCGAAACTCAAAGCTGCTGCACTACTGTCGCACTTATTCCAAATCATTCCCAAAACAATTGTATGTAATCCAGCCGTAGTCAGATGGTTCCCATTCATTTGACCACACTCATCTCAACAATTTGACTTTTCTACGGCCCGGCAACTCGATCGGACGTGGTTAAATTTGACGAATACTCTAGCTGTGAGAAGGTTATCGACCTTCTTACATCTCGAGAGGTGGAGATTAAGCTCTACGGCATTGCAGTGATAAAAGACACGCAACACCGCATATTGTGAGGGCCTCCCTGCCAACTTTGATCCAAATACGTCTTTTCTTTCTTGACCCATCTCCACAGATAATTCTCCTAGAACGTAGGGTTTATGGTCAAAAAGTCAAGACATGTTCAGTGATGAGTACTCTATTCCCAAAGTAGGAAGTCTTTGGACGTGTGAAAGCCCAAAGTGCAACTCCACCAAATCTGCTCTACCATGTGATGTCCACTCAAATTGATCGCTCTGTACTCATGAAGATTATTCCTACGTGATTGTAGATCAGAATAAGTCGGCTGCTTACATGATAGAAGCAGAAATAATGACTCTAAGCGCTGAATATACTAACTTGGTTTCGTGAGCATCTAAGCAATGTCTTGAAAGGATGGGCTCAAAGTGATATGCTCATTCTAGGAGGCGAATTGCAATCCCACGACGAGGATAGCTGCTGGCAGTGTAAACTCACGTACATTCTTATACTTTCTTAGAATTGCCAAATTGGCTCATCGATCCAGCAATGAACGAGTGTCCAGACCTTCCATAAAGATGCACCAGAAACTACCCATCTAGTCGCTAGGAGATACAAGCTCTCGCTGCTGGAATTCTACGACCACCGCCAGCACAAACAAATTGTGCTTTACAGTGGAAGGATCACTGCTTAGTAATCTAAGATGCCCTGCTCTGAAATCTTCAGTAGAGCAGCGTACGGCCTCAACCATTGTATTTTTTAGCAACCGTCGCACTCCACAACTGCGATAATTTGTGGTGCATGCAACTTTCACATATTGCAAGAAAAGGTGACGGACCCAATTTGAGAGCCAACATCCAGGAAAGCTCTGCAATTGTCTGATGGAGTAACTCGTATCCTTTGATCACGCACAAGAAACCCTCCGAGTCTAATTCGAAGGCAAGGCAGCCTACTTTCAACGCCATGCATCCTTGCATTCTCGATAAGGTGTCCCCTAGACCTCATCCCCGCTGTAAGCTTTACACGTTCTCTATATGATGTAACGAGCTAAAATCGGGAGGATATTCACAATGTGCACATGGCGCAAGTGGTAAGTCGAGATACCAGTACAAATTGAGGGGTACGAGCCGAACAAATAATTGGATCTGTGACATTTGTGCAATCCAAGTCACGTATCTTAGTACGTCATAATTCGTTTGTGGAGACTGAAACAAGTCGGTGGCAGATAAGCGTGGGCTTAAGAGAATTAATTTGGTCATCTGATTATATGGCAGGAGCAGAGGAGGAGCATACATGTGGCCAGCTCTGTCCAATTCTGCAACAAGACAACTTTCTCAAGAAGCTCTACTGAGGCTCTTCACCGGAGAAATTGGAATGCAAAACAGTAACAACTTCACTATCTAGTCCCTGCAACATGTGTCGGAATTCTCCATATTATATGATATTCAGTCCAAGTAGAATTCATTCGCAATTAGGCCTGACAATCGTGTGACAGAACTGGCAAATTGGCCACCGAAGCAAATGGGTAAGCGATTGAGATATTTACGTGAGCCTCAAACATGATGCTCCCTTCCAAGAAACTGCGCCTACAGGTAATGTCGGGCACCAGGATCCACCATCGCCCCTCCCCTCGTCCACCTCGTCCAACTCTTTAAACTGCGGCTTTAATCCGTTCCCTGTTCTCCTGCCTACCAATCTCACATTGCCCGATTCCGGATCAAGACTAGCTCTAGCCACCAAATGCGCTACTGGATCTGCGCTCGTCAACCTCCGACAATCGTTCAACATTCCTTTCTCCGATCGGAACTCTCATCTCTTCTCCATGCGCGTCCTCGCTTGGAAATCTCGCGTCCTCCGCCTGACGCAGCACCAGGCAGCCCTGTCTGCACGTGATCCGCTCGCGCCTTCCGTCTTCCGTCGATCGACCACTACCGGACAAGCAATTCTCGCGATCGCTGCGCTCTTTTCTTTATGTTTCGCCCCTCGCGAGAGCAGTGCACAGTTTGATCGAAGCAGGAATGAGGCGAGAGCAAGGAAGGCCCAGCGCGGCGAAGGAAGAGCGAGAGACAGACGACAGAACCTCACGCACTCCCCGACCAGAGCTGACGGAGACGCTCTCTCGCTCACTGTGTGTTTTATTCTCCACGTCTCCATTTCAAATAGCTCTCTCTCGCTCCATCATCTCCCCTCCATCCGCCATCGCAACCATGCCAGCAGCCGTGCCCGTCCCGGTAAACCCAGTTCCCTTCTCGGTCGGTAAATACTGCGATTCTCCATTATCCCGAAGCCCCTTTCTCGATTTTTTCGCTCTGCACACATGTACTATAAATCGACCCCGAATCAAAGCCTTGCTGTACCTTGAAGTATATTCAGCTTTACCTACCATTCGGGAAGATAATTAATTCCTATTTTTCGGGCTTGACCCGGCGCATGATTCTCGCATCCAGCGAGCGAGATGGAAAATCAGCGTACGACTGCGTGTACGAGGTGCCAACTAAGGGGAATATGGTAAAGGGATGGGAGGCGTGCGAATTCGGGATCGCCCCGGATGGTTATATTTAGAGGAGGATTGGGATTTATTTTGGGCCGATTATTTCCGAACGCAGTTTGCCTTCAACATGGTGGCTTGGAATTCGGCCAAATTCCGGGGTCGAGGAATGTGGAGAGGGCCGAAGTCAATGACACGTAAGTCGTGGTATTCAAAGGCCTTACGTTGTTCATACCATCACGTCTACGATGGACGCCAGGGTGGTGAGTTGGATACAGCTTTCACATGTTGAGTCGTCCGTGTCCGAATCCACGCATACGGTGCCAACATCTGTCAGCTTCCGCATGTTGGGTAGCTGGGAACTTGGAGATCTCCGTTTTGGCGGACGGCCCCGTTGGATCTAGAGGACAATGTGTGTGATCGACTTCACGGGAGTGGACGTTGCCATCTTCAGACGGCGACACGTCGGACGCACGAGCCAGCCCGTCCTGTAAGAGAAACGCTAAGATGGGGCTCGGGCCTAACGTAATCATTCCCCGTAGAACTAACACGACGTTCATGGAATATCGATGATGATGTGACTGACATGCAGATCGTGTCTTTCATCGGGGTCAACAAGTTAATCTGGAGTTTACGACAAGTGTAAGTACAACTACCATGCAAACGTGTTCTCCTTAATCGGCTGAATTTTAGGTCTTCTTCCCTGTTCCAGACTAATAGAGCTTCAACGACCAATCTACAGGCATGTTCACACCGCATTGTTCAAGGTTTCCTATCTTGCTCTTTTGTTCATGTGACATCTATATTCCTTACCATAACATACTTCAAGTATGTGCTACACCCACGCAGACAAATAAAATGTCTTCCAGCTTTTTATATTTCATGAACTCTAGATTTGTTCTCCCCAAAAAAAAATATCCACAAAATCAGCAAGTGTAAAACTTGCAAAGATTTGTATTATCACCATTCATAATTGTCACTTTAGTCATATATGTGCTTGGAGTATTATAATTTGAACGTGCTAGATCAGGAGTGCACACATTACAAGTCCTCTACTTCTTCTACTTGTTAAAAGTTGAGTCTATTAGCTCGCAGCAGCAGCACGTTATCAAACAATGTGCTGGTTTCTTTAATTCAACATGGAATCCATCTACAACGAGTTTAATGATTGATTTTGAGGTTACATCGTATTTTGTGTTTTGAAAAGATCTATGCCAGAATCAGAAAAAATTATCTATTTAGTTAATCTTCGGAATTTGTTTGTTATGTTTGAAGTCATGTTTCTTACTTTTTGCAAGTTTACAATTAAATTAAACCTACATTGCCCATTAATAACGTGTAGTTTAATCCCGTGCAATAGCATCACAATACTGATGATTTTCAAAATTTGAAATAGTATGAAGCTAGCACATTAAAATGTATAAGCATATAAAGTAAGCAACAAAATTTTGAAAATATGGTTTGCAATTTGGAGATGACTTATGGAAATCGTCATATTAAAATAAAAATTATTTATTTATTACTCATAAATCACAAAAAAAATCAATGTAATTATGTTACAATGAAATGGAAATTTATGACCGAAAATTATGAATTCAAATGCAACCTTATTTACAGTCGTCAATCAAAGGATTTGTGAAAATTTACTACTTACATTCAAGTGCGAAGAATTTCATACTTATATTTGTATGACTAAAATAAATAGTTCTTATATTTATAACGACAACTGAATCTTCAGATTGTACGTAAAATCTTGAAGTTATCTAATTTTTAAAATAAATATATTTTTTTCAACTTTGATTGTAGTTTGCAATTGTATACATGTTTGAATAGATGCATGATGTCATATATGTTATTGTATCGTATTAGACAAAGTTACTAATTTGACATTTTGCTTAAAATTAATTTAATTTCACTACTGTTTTAAGATATATAAATAATTTTTTTAATATAATAAATTACAATAAAATTTTCAATCCGAACTTTTCAGGAAATATTTTGTATCCCATGTTGTTGCTTGAAACTACAATAAAATTTCTGAAAAAATCATATGTATTTCTCATTTCATTTTCTAATTTTTTCCAATAAGTAATTAATTGAAATATCAAACACAAATTTTGTGGGTTAAGATTATTAACATACATTAGGTTGAATTTTGTCATTATTCAAAAATTATATGATGAATATTATTCTTAAAAGTTTGAACAATACAAAGTAAAACATATAAGTGAAATATGTGTTTCCAGTAATATTAAAGTTGAAAGTTATTAATTTTTTAAATAAAATAATTTATAATTTATAACATAAAATATCATGAAAATGTACGGCAGCTTTATTATGCTATTTTTATATTTGAAAAGTTTTACAGTAGATTTTCTATCTTTTTTTAATCAACATATTTTGGAATCTATGATAAAGTAAACATATTGTGAATAAGTTTGAATGTTAATATATGCAAAATTATATCATATAGATTTGCGATATTCAAATGAAATGTAATTACTTTGTGAAGCATCTTTCATACTTTTAAAGATTTTATTAATTGCACATTTTTTTCAAATTTTTTAAATAGATAATTTCTTCAAATGCTGAAAGTATAAAGTAAAAATATATTTTTTGTCTCACACATCAAATTATTTTTTAATAATTTTTTACAAGGTTTCAAAACATTTGGTCTTTATTTAAGTCAATATCATATATTATATCAACATTGTGCAAAAGCTTGTTTAGATTTGTTAAATATAAATATAAATAAATAAAATTATATTAAATATATTAAATAGCATGCAAATAATTTGTAATGCAAAGAAATACAAATTTGTTGTTGTGCTAAATTTGGTTAATAAAATGATAATTTTCAAAATCATTATGAAAATAAGTCATTAAAAATTTTGAACGAGATAATTAAATCCTTTATAAGTTTTTGAATTTTTATTTTAACATAAATAGCTCGATATATTAAATAATATAAATAAATAAATAAAATTTTATAAAAAATATATAAAAAATGAGTTCTACAACTGAATTCACCATGCAAACTCATCATGCAAAATTCGGTTAGAATATTTAATTTTTTTTCTTTGAAGTGATTTATTCAAATTTCAACGATTTTCCTTGGAACAGATATATAAAGAAGAATACATATGTGCACTTTTAATAAAAAAAATTTCAAAATTATTTTTATTGAGTTATAGAAAATGGAAAGAAATATTAGAAAATAATATACCGAAAAGAACTACAAACTTGTATTTGTTTATTTTATTCAATTATTTGTTGATATTCAGTTTATTTTTTGAAATTACGTGCGGTAGTTAAGGTACAGTTAAAAAAATTTATTGTTGAATGATCTATGATAAAAATAAAACTAAAAATATAAATCATTCTCTATATGAGTTGTATCTTTCATATCAAAATTCATATCTAAGCTTTAGTATTTAGACCGTATAACATTAATGTCAAGAAAAACAATTCTTTATTAGATCAAGAATGTTTCAAAGATCAAATATTATTCAGAAAAATTATATATAATTGAAAATTATTTAGAAAATATGAACATATTCAAAATGAAAGAGATGTGTATTTTTATTTATGATTGTTACAAACGTGATAGATGGTATATCTAATGCAATATACACCTCTATTTTACAGCTGTTTTAAAGTCATATTCTACATATGTGTTCTTTAGATATAACTTTTCAAACAGAATACTAATGAATACTTCTAAAAATTGAATCATTTAGTTTCAACAAATATATTAAATACATTTTTTTTGAAAATAAATTTTTATAATTGAAGGTCAAGCTTAAAAAAGACTTAGATGATTATTTCCATTCATACATATTTAACATAGTTCAAAACAATAGTGTTTAGTTCGTGGAGTGCACTTGTTTTACATCATGAGAATGTTTTTCACAAATATGTTAGAATACATTCCGCTAGTATTTCCACCAAATTACCATGAAACCATAGTCCTTGTTATGAATATACTTCTATTTCCATTACATCCGTAAAAATTCTGATTAGAACAAACCATCATCGAAAAATGCTTGTGATTGTTTCCAAAGTTTGCTTTACAGTAGCTTCAAAGTTTCTTCATGGCTCAAAGTCATATAAAAAGCTTAATAAGCTTGATTGTGCGTCTATCCGAGCTGGACAGCGCATTCCTGGACGTAATTTGCTTCAGATTCTCAACACACAAAACGGAAAACTGAAGACAGAACACATTTGGGATACTTTTTACTTTTGTCTTTATAGGTGGCGAAATTATCAATCACACTTCATCACAGAACAATTTGGTAGGAAAAGTACAGTACAGAATGCGTTCTTGATATAAACCGTAGTCAAATTGACTACCTTTATCCAGAATTATGGCAGAGGCTAGGGTTTATCAAACTCTACATGCACAAGTTTGTTTTGCTCCTCATCTGCTCTGTCACTCTGCATTTTCGCTCTCGCGCCATCACCCTTCGAGGCCTTCGAGGTCTTCGAGATCAGTCTAATTGCGCACGGGCAAGAGATCAAATTTTGAGGAATTGACAGGAACAATTGGGAATCATGGCCGGTACTTTCGCAATCTTTTCCTAAAACTCCATTCTGTAAATTCACCATCTTGTGACAATTCCAGGTTCTGTATGAACTCGTATTTTGGAGACCTGGATTTTGTACATAATTTATCACATTGGGTCGAGTCGATTTGAGTGTGGCAGCAGATCTGTGGGGATAGCAGTGCGTGTTGACGGGTGTTGTTTAATTTCTAAATCACCTCCGAGAACTTGTCTTTTTGGTGTGCCATTCAATGGAATATCGCCACTCCGAAAGTTCTCGTGGGTCCGAACATCAATTCATGTGCTTTGGAACGATTACCTGGCCATCGGGACCTTCAGTTAGTGGTGGTAGAAATCGCTGGCAGGTTTGAATAGCTCATCAGTCGTTGGTGCCTTCAACTGGCCTGGAGTGTTCTTATACCTTCAGATACGATTCAGAGGATGTGTCGGGAGAAATGCAGCCGAGACACCATAGCTCGATTGCTTGTAATGTCAGTAGAATTTAGTTCTGACTAGACGACGGACTGCGAAAACAGTAAGAAGACGAAGTTTGGGCTATCTGTTTCACATATCCGCAGCTGACGCACTTGAACCAGTCATATACAATGCCAAGTTCCAACCAAGAGGGTATCTTCAGTATTGAACTTCAAGGCTCAAATCCATAGCTTTCTGATGTTGCACTAAAATTCCCAGACCGATTATCAGTCACAGTATCGATGACGTTGAATCCCCTTACAAATTCCAATATTCACTCAGTTTAGGCTGTTTTTATCATTGACTTTCAGTTATATCGTTTGTTTTTTAGGGGCTGTTTTCGTAGACACGATGTTTTATCAGTAACAAGGTCAAGGTTTGAAACTGTGTGGTTTAGACGTGACGCACTTGGATGAATCGCATGTATTTCATCCAAGCTAATAAAATCTAATAATTATCTTTGTCGGGTGTGAAGATAGACATTAACTACTTGTTCCCAAACCCAACGTTCTTATTTACGAGGTTTTGAGGACTGCCATGGTATTAATTCATTCCCCAAGTGTGTTAGTCAAGGGCTCGTACATTGCCCTACATTCCATACTTCTCATTCTCGCAATCTGAGCCCCTTGACACCTGTTACTTGGCGTCCTGTCCTTCTCTCTACTTTATGTCAATGTGTTTGTTGTCTTTTGAGATCTATGATGATCCATTCACCTAGTACTGTCCATCAATTTCTTTGCTAGCACATCATGTGAGCATGTTTATTTTGTTTTGAATCTTTTACCATTCGAGAAGTCAATTTGCCCAATTTGTCTATTAAGTTTCTGACTTATCTCGTTTCTTCTTTGCAACGCAGACTATGCAGAAGAGCAGGAAATGGAGATCGATGCCTTACAGGCCATACTCATGGACGACATTGTAGGTAATATTCAAGCTCCCATGACCTTTTCACGTTTGTACATCTCTTTCATACTCTAGGATTGAAGATCTGCTGTTTCTATGGCATATTTGCAGCAGGTTGGTTACGAGGCGAAAAGTTTTCCCTCTTTTTTAAGATAATGTTTACGTGTTTGATGCAGAGTTGAATAGTAACGAGAGCGGCCTCCACACGACTGCCCGCTGTTTCCAGATCACAATATCTCCTAAGGTTTGTCTTCTTTCGTGTAAGGTCGATGAGGAAAACTATCATTTTGGGAACTGAACTGAAAATTATGATAGTATAGTGTTCGAAGATGGAAGGGTACTTGTATGTGCATCTGTGCCAAACTTTGTTGACCTATTTGGTGGGAAACTTGCTTTTGCTTAAAATATGCAATTGATTCTTCCTTGTCTTACCTTTCAGGATGATGATGAAGATGAGCCAACGGATATACCAGGTCTGCATTTTTAAGTAGGTTGATAGTGCTTTCTTAAGACATTCGTATTTTTAATTGTGATCACGAACGATTTCAACTTTGCTTTGAGAAAATTATGTCAATCGGGCGTGAAGATGAGCAATGTAATTGACTTCATCTAAAAGTCAGAGCTTTTCGTGTGACCGATGAAAGAGCTCCCGCTGCATAGATATTTTGGCCTTCAGCATGGGGTTTTGGGTTCACGCAAGATCTAACGTTATGGTCATGACCAAGAATTACCGCTTGCGTGTAGGATATCTAATCTCTCAATTTTGGTAGTCTGGTTTTGTTCCTTGCAGTTCGGTTAGCCTTGGTGTTTGCACATACACCCAACTATCCAGATGAACCGCCTCTTTTCGACGTTAGAAGGTAAGGTTTTTTGTCATGCCAGTGAAGTGTCAAGATTTTTCAGATACCATGCAGAAGGTCTCTCTGTATATTCGTTTCGCTCTCTACAGGAATCCAGCTTCTTGTAGGTTGTAAACAACTGGCTATGAAATGAAGCGCATCTCAAATGAAGAGCTCTCTGTATTTCTCAAGGTCCATCAGCAACTGCTTGAGGAATGTTTCTTGCGTTTGGAGATGTACAGTAGTAAGATGTCCAAAAACCTGTCCTTGATATTTTGGTTTCTGACCAATCTGATGTAGTCCTGAAGTGCTTATCTCGTCTTTCGTTGTCAGTTTACAAGGTGTAAAAGTTTCCGATGTGAAGGAACTGAAGGAGAGATTGCAGAAAGAGGTAATAGAAGTAAACAGTTGTACAGGAACACAGACATGCCATCTTTTTCCTTTAACTGGATATACGGTATAATGAATGTGTGCATGGCGTTATTCGTGTGATCCGATTCTCAGTGATATTATGCAGCATCTCTTTCTTCAAACTTGTTTATAGTAGGTTACCTGAGTAGTGTTTTTATCGTTCAAGTTTGACGTCATATCTCATACTGGCAGGCCACCGAGAATCTGGGCATGGCCATGATCTATACCCTTCATACTTCAGCTAAAGAATGGCTTCGGGAGAAGTTTGGCCAAGATCAGGGAGATTTCAATTCAGATGATGAAGATGATATCGAAAAGGAAGATGTAAGAATCCCATTTCGATACATTTTTTGTCTGTGTTTACACTTCAATTCATGCATGTATTTTTGGCCACGCATTTTGCAATCACAAAGAATATATTCGACTCTAATCTGCCCTTGATGGACTTTGATTACATAGCTTTTTCTCAACGTTATTGACAGTTGATTTTGTACTCTTGTAGATCATCGAACCCCATGGAGAGGCAGTCACCGTCGAAACCTTCCTAGCGTGGAGAGAAAGATATGAAGCAGAACTTGCTCTCGAGAAGGCAAAGTATGAAAGTCTTTAACCCACATCTGCAGTTGCTAAGTCGTCATGTGTAAAGTAGATTAGTCGAAACCCCTATTGATGTTCTAATGTTTGCGGCAATTTAGTACAGTTCGATGGTAAGCATAAGTAGACTTCTGACCGGAGTCCCATCGAGGCGTGATTGAACCGGTGTTTTTTGAAACAGATTGATGCCCGAAGCTGCCCTTTTAGCCTCGAAGGAGAAAAGAATGAGCGGACGAGCTTGGTTTGAGAGTGGAAGAGCTTCAGCATCGGTCGGGTTCTCAGCGCCTTGCTTCAATGTTTTGACACAGATTTGAATGTTGGGACTGAAGAACTCAATTTTGCACTTTCACGTCTTCTCACGTACCTTTCCTTATCGTGAACCTATGTAGCCCTTGTTAACAGTAGATTCTGTGGACGCCTAATTTTACAGAAGGGAGCAAAGATCGTGGCTGGAGATAGTGAAGAAGAATTGGAGGAAGAAGATCTTGACTTCGATGATGATTTTGACGACGAAGGTATTGATATGATGTCTTCTGCAATGTTAACGTGGCCCCCTGCTATTCTCTCCCCTTCATTGGATGGCTCGCGGGGCTTTGTGGAAGCATCTAGAAGTGTGCCTATCTGATGGGATCAGTAGTTCGTTTTGTATGCGTTTCCTCCTGAAATACTTGTGCTAGACGACTGTCACTGATCTTGTTTCTTGTGATGCAGATCTCGATGAGGAGGATATGCTGGACCATTTCCTTTCCGGTAGATCAGACAAGACACCCGTGAGGAGTTGAGGATAGTCAAGTTCGGCGTGTACGTGGTGTGGAGAAGTCCGTTGTTTCCAACTGTTACCAGAATGTTGATAATATGCATCACATCTTTGCCTGGTACCACTCTACACATTTCTTCGAGCAGTTATCAGCTTTATGTCCAAAAGAAGTTAAAGAGCTTTGGGACCGATGATGTTAAAGCATTCACGTGTTTCAGGGATTGAGTGGGCAACTATAATCTTTTGAAAGATCTTCTTAACAGCTGTCGAGTACCCTTGGCAATCGCTGATTGTACGGAACCTATGTAGAGGTCAAGGTATTCGCTTCAAGGAGAACCACTGAGTTATTGAGTCTGGCATTATACATGAAACTCCTCCTTGTACACTTGAGTCACTAAGAAGAAGAGCGGTTGGGGCAAGCAGTAGGAGTCTCCAAGTATATACCCATGGTAATCTACCATTTTACGGGCCTCACTTTTGTGAAGGCTTAGAGAGTCATGCAAACTGTCACTCGTAGTTTAAGATATGTTAATGCATCGGCTATTCAGGTCATCTTGGTTGTATGTAGTAAAGCGGTTACGTCCGTTGCAAACATGTATGGATATTTTTCCTTGTCAGAATTCTATGAAAATCAAAACAGTGATATTGGTCTGTTTTTGTTGATATTCTGTTTGAAAGGTACAAATCCAGGTTGTAACTCCAATTTCGATGATATCCACTCTTCTTTCGGACAGAATACGCTCTACCAGATGTTTCCTTGAGTTTGAGGGGAAACACCTACTTGTTAGATTCTGGAACATAATTAGTGTACTCTCACATTCCGCACTCTTTTGCAAGTTCTCACGTTATGTATGGATAATTCTCTTACATGAAATCAACTCCACTCCATCCCATGTAGTTGCATCATCCGTCTCATTCAGTTTGTAATCGTCTATGATTTGCTCTTTCACACGACCTTGACTTCTTATGGGATGTCTTGGCTATTATGATCTGTTCCAGCAACACGACATCACGTTTGAATCTTCCATATAGCTCACCCTAGTTTCTCTTCCTTTACATCGGTTTCTGCTTTTAATTGCAGTACTCAGGACCAGGACATCTCATCGCTGGAGAAACTCAGTGATGAGTAGCATGAAGCCAGGGTAAGATAAGAATGCAGATGCAGCGACTTCTACAAATCCAAGCAGGGTGTGCTCATCCGTGCTTATTACTTTGCCAAGCAACCAATCTTAAAACTCCAGATTAGAAGCGAGGTTTATTACTGTCCTCGACTCTTGGGATTGACTATAGACACATTGGAAATATAAAATGATGCAATTTCATCACTATCCTGCAGTGTGCAATGCCAATCTTCTTCAATCCCTTTCTCCTGGCAAACTTCTTACACCAACAGGATGTGGATAGACAGAGTCTTCCAAGAAGCTGACAAGAGTGGGCAGCTTGGAAACACTTCGTCTGCAACATAACGCAGATCGGAGATCGATTCCATGTACAGTAACGGTCAGTCGAGAGTGGCGACCTACAGGAGATCAACAAAATTCAAAGCTAGACCAGAAGGTCCTTAAACCAGCTCATGCTGCTTCCCACGACTTTCATCGAGGCAGATCCACAGAAGTTGGAATGGCCGGGCCCACTTTCTCACCGGATGTGAAGGATTTCGACTTCCAAGGATTGGTTCGGTGAGAGGCGAGCCTATTCGGAGAGATTAAGCTGCGCTCACATCACACGTCATGATTATTGGGTGGAGTGCACAGGGAAACGATCCTTGCCGTAACGATGGCATCGTACTTCCGCAGTCATGTTTGGCCAGGACGGTATTAACCAATTGCTGCTCATCGGACAGTAGACAATATTCGGTGAAAGTGTCGACGGTCCTGAATGTTGATCATATGAACCGGCACTGAGACTTATTTTAGTAATTTTTTGTACAACACTTATATTTGTATAGTGTTTTTATTGGATGTGATCTTAATTTTTTTAAAAAAATGTTATATGATCACAATTTACTCAACACTTAGTTTTACCAATTTCTGTATATTTTTTTACATATTTGAGTTGATTGCAAGATAGACCAACATTTATATCTTGATGTATCTAACCCTTCTTAGTAATTCGATAATAAACATGTAGAAGAATAAAAAAAGCAGTACATTTTTTTAGATTTTCCATTTATATAATAGAAATATTGTTTGAAAACAAGTCACAATGTATGATTTTAAATCAAGAATCATGAACGATGCATGAGACATATTGATTTGAACTATGGCAGTATTACTAAGATGATATTTTATAGTAGAAATGAATATTAAACTCATAAATAAATGTTGAAGATTTTGGCTTTAGTTGATGTATAAAAAGAACATGGATGAATTTTCATATGATACTCTTATATGAACAAAACATGACTTTTAATTGAATGATATTTATATGTAAGTGATACATTTTATCATTTTTCATGTTTTTTTCAAAATATAATTCAAGGTTATTTTTCACAACTTAAAAGAATATATTATATATTTACATTGAAAAAAAATTCACAACGCTATACAAATATCTCTCCAAATAGATAACATATGATTAGTATATAGATAGATTTATTTACAAAAAATATTCTATTATATCGAATGAAAAAGAATTAAGTCTCTAAATAATTTATCTATTCTTATAAATTGACATCTATTATTGATTAATTATGTATGTTGTAAATGATATAAACAAGTCGAACAATCAACCTTAAAGGTACGTGGATCTTCTTGTTAAACTCATATACACAAAAACATTACACATGTTTGACAGTTTTTTAAATTGTGTCATTGAGAGTTTGAAGAGCTTTCATTTATAGAGCAAATAATTTATATCATAAACAAGTAAAATTAACATTAGTTTCTATTAATGTTACATATGCAAATTTTATAATTAAAATAAATCTCCAACTAATGCATTCATGATTTAATGTCAACATCTTTAGTTAGTTAAAACTAAAGTAAAATTTACTGAAGATAAAGTTATAGTTACTTTAACAAGCACTAGTCATAATTGTCACGTCAACGATTTGCATGTTTGGTAAATAGAGAATAAGTATGTTAATTGATAGTGCCAGCTATCTGTATGTTTCTTGGGTAAAGATTGAATATGTTAGTTGACAGCGTCACGTCAGCAATCCGTGTGTTTGTTAGGCTCCTCGCTAGAACAACCCCGACCGTATGCTCTCCGGGCTGACGGTATACGTACACCATTCATTTCTCACCGTCACCGTGGATCAGTCGTTTCACCGTCACCGTCACTCGGGGGTTTCGAGTTTCGCTTTTTGCCCAAGACGAGACCGGCGGCCTTTTCGTCTAGCATTTGTTGTGACGCATTTCTTGTCTCGGATTGGCGATGGCGCTTCAGGCTAGCTCGGAGATGGCAATTTGTCGAATTATTTCTAACCTCATCTGTCCATGATCGCTCGTTTTGTTGCCATGAGGGAGCTGCGCTAGTCGGAAATTCTATCTTTTGTTTGAGCCGTGCACTTCCTGCTCGCTTGTTGCACAGCAGAGAGGAAGAAGAAGGAGACGAAGGTCGCGAAGCTGGGTTATCGTCGTCTTTCGCCTTGAGGGTCTGTTGTGTTTCTGGCCGGGAATTGGGAAGAACGTGGCCCCGAGACGTGCAATGATTTCTGCATTCGAGCTGCATAATCGTGAGCTGCAACGAATATGTAATCACATCCTCCGCTTCTGTTCTAGTACACCCCGCTGATTTTTAATGAATACGATTACTTGACACGGATGCGAATTGCAGTGACCGATTTGTATGGATCGAACGTTGTGAAGGCAGCTTAACCCGAAACCGACTCAGTCCACCTAATCTCGAGTACATCATTTCGACGACATTTGAGATTCTTTGGTTTCGCGATGCAAAGGCCGTTTCTGGGTCCAAAATAACTGCTCGGTGCATAATCCCAGGAAAGCGAGGCCATAATGTTGTAGAAAGGAAGGACACGACACGAGTACTAGATTGAGTAATGTTTCGGAAGGTAGGGAGGGGGAGATGTGTTTCAGAGGGGAAGAAGTTTCGTAGAGTTTTGTACTTTTGAGCGCTCTCATGCAAAAGCACTTCAGAATATACTTAAATTGTTCATAAACACCACTTACGGCGTACTGGCTTTGCCATACTTTGTGGTTAATAGTACAGTTTAGCCAATAATAGACTGCCATGAATGGGATCATGGCAGTCGATGGAATTCGACTTTGGTCGTTCAGACCCTATGAGGGTCGATGTGTGGGGTAGATCATTCAGTCCCCTATATCTAGCAGCAGCGAGATGTTGGTGGATGGGATGAGGAGGGAAGAGAAGTGGTTCGGAGCCGAACCGAGCATTTGTTGAGATTACATTGATCGGATGAGATGAGCTGAATGAGTGGGCATCGCGAGCACAACAAGAGCAACATCCCATCGTCAATTAGTACAAATTTCAAAATCCTAACATGATCGTGACGCGTTCAAGAAAATTATTTGAGAACTATAAAACTAAGTAAATCCGTGAACACTAATTAACACAACAAAGTGTAGCTTCCCCGTTCACTTAATCAAAGAAAATCATTCAAATCTGTCTAGAGGAAAAGAACAAATTGAAATTTTCTTTCGAACTCAAAGAAAATAAAAATTTCTGCTAGACGCTGTTGTGGAACCAAATTTTGTGGCCAATCTCCACAATTCCCAGCAAACAAAACATCAAAATCACTCCAAAAGCGGCACATGACAGTTTCATCCCACCCTACTAAAGCCCCTGACCTTTGGTGATGTTCATTTACTTACGTAACTCAAACCAGAATCATTGATTTTTGAACGCTCAACTGAAATCAGTGACATTCTGCTTGATAGACTTGAGCAATTACTCCCATCGGCTTCCGCTGCCATGATTCTCTTTAGTTACTTCGATTGATTAAGTCCAGGTACGGTGATGTCATTCTTGGGTAGTGAGCCGCGGGTTGCCGAATCGATGGCTACTATGCAACGCGTGCTGCAGAGAATGCCCGCCCCTGAACAGCATGTTGTTCATGTGCTTCGCAATAGCTCCGATCGGACAGACGAACGCAGAGCTTCCTGCAAGTTGCTGCCTTGGCTTGCGTTGCTCGCTTGTCTTTTGGGGCTTCGGATTGTCTTGCCTCAAGCAAGGCCGGGCTTGCGTTGCTTTCCATCGCGCCGACACGTGTCTCACATCGGGTTTCCATGTGTCGAATTTGAATGCCAGAGGTTGCGCGGTCGACGGTAGACTTCTTGAAGCGACGGTGACAAAGGAAAGACCGTCACGACAATGACCGTATACCGTCAACCCACAGTCATACGGTTGGGGTTGTTCTAGCCTGTATTCTTGTTAGGATTATCCACCATGTCATCCATCTACTAGGAATGGAATAGATGGTGGGGATGAGATCTTGTTTTCTTGAAACTTATTGATAAGAGCTATATAAGGAAGATGAGAAATATCGTTTGGATCTTTCATATTTAAAGTTTATGTTTTCATTTCATAGTGAATTTTTCTCTAAACCCTAATGTAACAATAAATCCAATTGTATAATTTTTCTTATTCATAGTTAGCACCAAGTAAATTTAACTAAGACTTCATATATTTTTAAAAATCATCATACAGCACAATACTTAGTACATTTG